TGTAACTCTTCCTGTTGATAAAGCCTCAGCTCCATCCAACGTGCTTTGTCTTCCTCTCTTTATGCCCTTCAGGGCAGAAAAAATAGAGATGACGACTATCTGGGCCAGAGCTAAATTTACCACATTAGGTGCCTCAAATAAGGACATATGGAATCTCTCATAACACGATCCAACATTACACTAAGATTCAGAATATATGGCATAAATATCTGGTTCTGGAATATTAACGGTAATTTATATAGACTACCATGACAAGACTGTTGGACTTATAACCCAGCTGGCACATTGACCTTAAAACAACATCAAAACAATGTGCCAAAAGCACATCAAAAATGAAAATCGGTTCAATGTCAAAATTTTGACATCCATTTGACATCCACAGACCACCATAATGACAGCTCAAAAAATCTTACATTTATTCATCAGAAAGCTTCAATTCCAAATGAGACATTTACACTGAATTTTTTGTTCCTTGATGTCAAAATAATGTCAAATTAACACCAAACATCCCGGCCATTTTATTAAGTACACTTGTCCAACTGCTCGTTAACACAAAATTTTAATCAGCCAATCACATAGTAGCAACTCAATGCATTTAGGCGTGTAGACATGCATGGTGAACGTGGCATGGTTGTTGGTGCCAGACTGGCTGGTCTGAGTATTTCAAAATCTGCTGATCTACTGGGATTTTCACGCACAACCATCTCTAGAGTTTACAGAGAATAATCAGAGAAATATTCAGTGAGCGGCAAATCTATGGGTGCAAATGCCCTGTTGATGCCAGAGGTCAGAAGAGAATGGCCAGACTGGTTTCAGCAGATAGAAAGGCAACAGTAACTCAAATAACCACACGTTGCGCGGAGGTATGCAGAAGAGCATCTCTGAACACACAACATGTCAAACCTTAAGGCGGACTGGCTACAGCAGAAGACCTCACCGGGTGCCGCTCCTGTCAGATAAGAACAGGAAACTGAGGGTACAATCCTCACAGGCTCACCAAAATTGGACAGTAGAAGATTGGAAAAAAAGCTGCCTGGTCTGATAAGTCTCAATTTCTGCTGTGACATTCAGATGATAGGGTCAGAATTTGGCGTAAACAACATGAAAGCATGGATCCATCCTGCCTTGTATCAATGGTGGTGGTGTAATGGTGTGGTGGATATTTTCTTGGCACACTTTGGGCCCATTAGTATCATTTGAGCATAGTGTCAACACCACAGCCTACCTGGGTATTGTTGCTGACCATATCCATCCCTTTATGAGCACAGTGTACCCATCTTCTGATGACATATCATAAAGCGTGAATCATCTTAGACTGGTTTCTTAAACATGTCAATGTTCACTGTACTTAAATGGCCTCCACAGTCACTAGAATTTAATCCAATAGAGCACCTTTGGTATGTGGTGGAATGGGAGATTCGCCTCATAGATGTGCAGCCGAGAAATCTGCAGCAATTGTGTGATGCTATCATGTAAATTTGGACCAAAATATCTGAGGAATATTTCCAGTACCTCGTTGAATCTGTCACGGCAGTTCTGAAGGGAACGGGGTCCAACACGGTACTAACAAGTTGCACCTAATAAAGTGGTCGGTACGTGCAGATTAACATAGATTATAGGACAGTAATGTAATCAATATTTGAAATGTTATCGAAACCAATGTCATTTTGACATCAAGGTAGTCAGTTCACATAAAATCAATTAGCATTTTTGACATGTTACAGGTATGTTGTTTTGAAACCAAGGTGCCCACTGGGAAGCCTAAAACAAGACCAGACCCACCAAATTTCAACACCTCATATCTTTACATTTATGAAGTAAATATGAGTGACCGCGAAATGCTAGGATGTTCTTAATGAAAATCAGGGCGTTGCAATGCAGTTGCTCCATGTGTAATCAGCTGGGTTTGTTATGTCACTAGATGCTGGATAGTTGCCATGGGGTTGCTAAGGTCATAGGTGGTGAACCAAGTGTTGGTTTTGTTTATATTGTGTTACTTTTTTAGTTGCACAGGTGATATTAGTAGTTACTGACGTTCTGTAATACTTGATTCTGATTGGTCAATCATGACACTCATGTATTATTCCCACATAACAATCCTGAAACCAAAAACACAGGCTCATCTATGTACTTAGAACACTCTTGACTATTAGAGAGTATATTCATAATCTAATTTTAAGATTTTATACATCAAGGCAGTTGTTTTCGCAATATAAATCTCTTATACAACAGCAAAACGAACTTTATTCTGTAAGAACAACTGGCTAGATATACATTATCCCTTACTTTCCATGGTGTTGTTAGGGGTTTGGGGTAGATATCAGAATAATAGATGCCTGACTAAAGTGTTCTAGGTCGTATAGGGTGTGGTCAAGGTGATATATGGCCACCTGTGTCTAATGGGTGGTTTCTGGGTATCAATATGGTTGTCTTGAAAACTTGCAAGGATATTAGGGTGTTCAAGTGTCCTGGTTGGTTTCTACTGTGAAACTTTAGCGTTGTTTAGCCTTTATGAGAAGTGTTATTGGTTATGTTATTAATGGGAAGTTGTTTGGATATCATGATTATTTGGTTAAATGTTACAGTGTCTGACGTCAATATCAGTGTGATATATTTACGGCTCCATGTTACTAGCTTGTTACTTTGGGATTGTTCCAGTTGCTATGAATAGTTGTCAAGGTTTTAAGATGTTATAAATAACATGGAAATGCACATTCTATTTGGTTTTACAGTGTTGCAGAGTAGTAGTTTTCTGGCCACTTCTATGCATTTGTTTAAGTGTTAGTAGTTGCTAGGGGGTTGTCAGAGTATGCTTAGATAATGTCAGGGTTTTTTATATGGTATATGGTGGAACAAGTGTTATTCTTAGTTTCTAGGCACTATGTAAACAAGAGGCCTAACATATGAATACACACCTATACAGTACACTAATAGACGCTTATCCATGGGGATATGAAAGTTTAAACCCCTTGGTGGTGTGAAATGACACCATGCTAATGTGCATATCCATAATTCATTGCCTCGATCCATTTTGCAGTGAATTTGTGTGAGTGAGATAGAGAGGCCAAGAAAACACAATTGCACACTGTAAATTGGCAGGCTGTTAGTTTTACACAAATGAGTTGCAAACAACTTTGACCTGGTAATTAGCCAAAAACTGCAGACATTGACATCCTCTGCTGACAATTTGTTATTATTTTTCTTGTAAAGAGTTTTCAAAGTTCTAACAATTGCTTGCCTTTATCAGCAGACACAATTTGTGTGAAATAGGATATACAAATTGTGGCTTTCAAAGTGTACACATGTAAACTTGAGAAGATATGATAATGCTATAAGGCAATACTAGTGATTATTTGTTGAAATGCTAGTAGATCCCTAATTCTTATTGTTTGAGTGTGCTAAAAATAAAGTGAGCTAATCTTAATAGCATTGTATCATAATGTCCAAACACCCTGTTGAAGGCCCTAATGTGTTAATAGCTAGCAGCTGTTTCAGTTTGTCCACTGGTGTTTGTTTTCATTACGAACAATTAAAGTATCATGTAGCGTCCTCTGCTGGTCAACCACAGGTCTGACCATATTTAAGTTACTCACCTCTCGATAAGAAAATTATCCGGCGACAGTGAATTTTCAGACACATATAAATATATTACAATTAGATTTAAACAACACAGATATAACAAAAATAACATGAACTAACAAACCTACCTTTATTCGGCTGCTGCACCAGCCGAAGACAGTCAGACCACGGGTAAGGAGGATGATAACAGGCTATAGGAAATTTGCAATTAAGAAATGACGACATACTTATACCAACAGCTCCAAGCTGTTTTAAATTGCGATATTTAACTTACTATTACTTATTAATAAAATAATAACAACAAAAATAACCAAAAAGTTATCTAAATTATCTAATTAACTTTGGGTTTTACACTATGGTAATTTGACGTATTGTAAAACGGTGCTTAAGCAATTAATCAATCTGCCAAAAACTTTACGACAATTTTACCGAAATCTTTGGTTCATTGGAATATTCTGGTAGTTAGCCAGAAAATATTTCTACATAGGCCTATAGAACGTTGCTTTGAGAAATGTTCTTGCAATGTACTTGTGCATACCATAAGAGAGATTTTTGAATAGCAAAAAGAACATACAAAAACGTACCCAAAATGTTATTCGGTTTCCAATAACCAATGCGGATGTTAATTGTGTTTGCTGGGATTATAATAAAATCTTCGGTTTTCAACTTTTTACGCACATTGTGTTATTCTTCATAGACTGTCAGCTAACATTATAAAAAAAATAAAAATAAAAAAATAAAAAACATACAGCAAATGTGATCATAATCTGTTGTAATAAACTGCTCAAACCAGTCTAATCGAGCTGGCTGACATCTGGCACCAATAAACATGCAACGTCTCTTAAATCCTTTTTTTTCTCATATCAGGCCTCATCTTGACCACGTAATAGATTTGTTACCATGTATTGTGATTTGCTGATATTTGCGTTGAGCAGTGGAGCCATCACATCTACAAAAATAAAATAAAATAAAATTTAAATTTACCAAAAGGACCATGACATCATTTGTCAAAATCTACATATTTTACAACTTCTATTCTTTTAAAACCTTTTACGCTTTTGGCGTTTCTCCCATTTTTTTTTACTATAATAGCCTAAAAGATTCCTTTTTTAAAATTAATGTCAGGATAGCATCATACGTATTTGTTATGTAGATTGTACATGAGTTTTACAGAGAAGTACATTCAAGAGAAAAAATAAACTAAAAAACAAACAACAAATAATATAAAATCATGTGTTAAGCAAATTAAAAAAGGAAAATAAGTTAACAGTTCTAATAGCTTTAAGATGTTTAGAGGAAGCTCTTATGTTTTATTAGTTCTAATGTACTGTTGAAGTTCCTTTTCAAAAACTATGAAAAAAGGTATACATTGAGAGAATTTACAGTGGTGTATGTGGAATTTTGCAAGAATTAAAAGGAGGTTAATAATGAAATAATTCTTACTTTTATTATCAGAAGTATAAAAAAACCCAACAGGATCCTTAAAAGATAACAAGAATCCTAGTAGTATTTTGCAATGAATAACCAAAGAAAGTTCAATCAAAAAGCATTGTGTTTGAGGGCAATTCCAAAAAAAAAAAGGTCAGCAGTTTTATTGGGTATATTACAGAAAGAGCAGCATGTACCTATATGGCTTATTTTTTATCAAAATGACTTGGCTGGGTAAAATCTGTGTAACCATTGAAATGAAATTTCTATAATTTTGTTATTATATATTTTACAGACAAAGACCTAACATTTTCCATGGAATCAGGTCATATATTTCCATAAAAAAAAACACACATATGGGGTTGTTACAAATTTTTTTTTTTTTGAAAGAGAGAGCTGAAAAAAAATTTTTCCCACTGAAGTTTCTAAGGGGTGCAAAGGCACAGACAATCACTGGATACTCCACCATAGCCTCTAAAAGCATAACTGCTTTATGAATTGCATCCATTATAATACAAAACTCATTTGGAGTTACCGGGAAGCCAAACTTGCATAACACTTTATGATTTAAGAGAAGACCTTAAAATAACTGAGATGCAGTCAAAATATGTTTCTCAAACCAACAATTTAAGAATAAATATTTGCTTTAATACAAAATGTCCTGATTGTTCCAGATAAAATACTGATGAGAAAAGTTTTTTGTAAATAAGTGACTATGCAAGTAAAGCTTGCATATGAAAATTGCATAATATATAAGGGATTCTAGCAATATTATAGTACAAATTAGTAGAAAAGGGAGTCCTCTAAGTTTTGAAAAAAAGTAATTGGGGATAAAATTCGAAGTTGAGTTTGGGTTACTTAAGCCAAAGCCAGTTAACTTTGAAAGTATTGTTTAAAGATAAAAAAATCAAGAAAATGTAACCCTCCATATTCATACTTGTTCTTAATTACAGATTTCCTAACATAATGTTTTTTTTTCTTCCGGACAAAATTAAAAATATTTTTATCCACACCTTTACAAATTTTATTATTTACTTATAAAGAAGATGCAGGTAAAGTAAGCCTAGCTGTACCTTCCGCTTTGGTGAGCAACACCCTGCCTTTAAAGACAAGTCTCTCTGCAGCCATGTCTGAAATCTTCTTTGTGTCTTAATAATAGACGGATCAAAGTTCAGAGAACATCTCCTTTCTTGGTTTTTAGTAATCAAAATGCCTAAATATGTTACTTCAGACTGGGATATTGTAGACAGTAGGAGCCGCACACTCTTTAATTGACATTAGTTCACATTTGTTTAGCTTAAGGTCTGATGCTTTAAAAAAAAATTAAATTCTATCAATAACTATAGGAATTTGGGAAGCATCTTTTAAAAAAAATAGTGGTGTCATCAGCCAACTGGCTAATAACTATTTCTCCACCCACTAAACAAATACCTTGTATACCACTTTCATAGACAAATGTAGACAGTAGTTGCGAAGAGATGTCTTTAACGCTGGAAATCCAGCTTTTCTGACACAAGCACAATACTTAAGTCGTTTTTTTTTAACTAAACACATTAAACGTAATTTATAAACTGAAATAGCATTTTACAATATCATTGTATTTTTGACCGCATAGATGCAGCCATGCAGAGCATAAAAGCTCCTCTTGCAGGGCTTGGTTTCTCAAACCCATATTCATCTACATACTGCTCAGTTTCCAAAATTACAACATGAACAATGAATTTTGGGCCACACAGAGACAAAGATATTTGTTTTATTTATGATTATAAAGTTACAATTTAGACAATGTTCCAAACAGCCAACCTGTTTATTTCTGGCTGACTTTAGGAGGGACCCACTCATGGATCTTCTTACGAGTGGTTGAAAAGGGTACATAGCAGTCAGGTGTGCCGCTTAGATTTATCTGATGAACCTTGGCCAGGAACTTCTTGGGCTCTGGAGGGTGAGTGGTGGGAGGATCATCTGTCATACAGTGCAGCCAGCGGTGCCTGAGGAACACATTGGAAGAGAGAAAGAGGAAGCTATTTCATTGTACATTAGCAAATAAAACCAGTGATGGATAGAGGCATGGGCTGGTATAAGATTTTGGCGGGATGATAACCATAGATAAAAATATCATGGTTTCACAGTATTGTAATTACTGCTCAAAAATAAGTTATTTTGTTTTTAAATGCCACAACTTTTTTATTTTAAGAAACATTTAAAATATTTTGGACCAGTACCTTTTGATGTATAAGTTCCTTTTCTGATGAAGATACTGTTGCCCTAAAGCTAAATTAAATAGTTGTGGAAATGTAAAAAAATAAACTTATACCTTAGGAATGATATAACAAAAAACTTTGGTGGATTTAAAACCTTAACTTTTCCAAACCGCAGTAAACCTTGAAACTGCTTATCGTCCCATCCCCAGTTGGACTGTAAGGTTTCTCAATGGAACTGTAAATAAATGCCCTTTTTATCCTGTCAAAAACATATTATTCCACATTATAATGTCAAATATAGAGTTTTGAGGTTGCACTGTCGTCTCCAGCATGAATAGTCATTGCTTAGAATTTAGAATTGCTTGACATTGCAGCCTGCCATTATCATTTTAAAATGTCTTCAAACAAACATATAAATGAAAATATGACGATTACATTATTTCCATTAACACCACATTGACAAACACAGATAGGCACATGAAGGTCTGGTTCTAAACATGAGTAAAATTAAGTTGGCATTTGCTAATTGTAACTAAACGATTACTTATTACATCTCTCAAATTGTAGGTACAACTACTTACTTTAAATAAAATTTCGATACTAGTCCAGCTTTGCCTGAGATAATGTTTTCCCCACTCTGTCTAAGACATTCCCTTCATATATAAAACAAATCAATTTCTTTGTTGCCTCTTCCAAAGCTGGTATTCTGGTTAAGGGCACCTGTGAACCTCTAACATTACATCTGAACATGCCATTGTTGTTAACCACTTCACTGTCTGTTTACAAAAAGTGGTAGCAAAGGGGCCAAGTCTATTGACCTTATTCAGCGATATGGAAGTACTCTAGTTTTGCAATTGTTTTCGAACTTCCGATTCAGTTGCCTATCGGAGAAATGACTAGGAGTATAAACGGCAGACAACGGTCAAAGTACTTGCTCTACAAACAAGTGTGTTTATGAAAGTACAAAAAAAAAGCAAAATGGTATAATAAGACAACATAAGTTTGCAACATCAAGAAGCTTAAAATGCTGTTTCTAACGTCTAAAAATCAACGGAGGTGGATGAGACTGCAAGTCTTGAGCCAAAAAGATTCCAACGGTACCCGCTCGTACGTGAAGAATAAGGTCAATAAATATAGTAAGGGTCAATAGAGTCTATGTGGACCAGCTAACTAAAGTGGTTATGTTTAAATTGGCATGAAATTTAAATGATTACAAATTGAAATTAGACAAATTACTTGTCTGAGCAGGCAAATTTCATTGAATGTTATCTTTAAAATCCTAAACAATTCTGGTTCTGTACACAGTTGTACTCAATTAAAAAACAATTATGTTTTTAACACTACTTTTGCAATGAATTATTACATTATAATACACTTTAAATATTCTTTAATAAATTAAAATTTGTCTTTTTTTTTTTACAATTTTACTGCTACTTTCCTATGCTAAATGATTTTTATCAATACAAGTGTTGTGTATATGTAATGCTGAATCTACAAAACTATTTTAATGATCAATTTTCAATGTAAAACTCATTTTTCCCGTCGCTTTTCTCAGTTATTATTGCTGCCAATTAGCATTTTTAAGTTGGTCGCTTTTTCCACAATACTCTTTAATTATAATTTTTATTCTACAAAAATAACTGTTTAACTCTGTAAACTATTGATAACAAAATTTTAAAAGCAAAAGATGCATATTACAGCAAGAAAGAAACTTACGGAAGCAACTAAATCTAAACTGGAAAAAACTAACATAGTGCAACAAAATAGGATTAAGATTCATTTACACACCTTTATAACATTTCATTAAATTCTGAAAGACATTATGAGATTGTAAATAATCTGACTTAAACCATGTGACTGCTGAACCACCAGATTAATTTAGTTGTCATTTAGACATTGATATTATTTATTGCCAGAGAAAAACAGGAATCCTATTCTAAGAATATAAACACCTCAGAATAGAATGTTACATCGCAGTTAGACACCATGTTCCAATGTCATGTTCCGATGCTTAAGACTAGTTTCTTAAGCATCTTACCAAAACCCTTCTGTTTTGTTTTTTGACAGTTGTAGATTCAAAATAACTGAAAACATTGGGCAATTATATGGAAGTGTAATGTGGTCAAAACCTGCCAGAACTATTTTAGCTGTGATTTATCTGAAAATAATTACACACCTTAGAACATAGGTCTCAAACTCAATTCCAGGAGAGCCACAGCACTGCACAGTTTCGCCCCAACCCTATCAAACACAGCTGATCCAAATAACCGAGGTGTTTAAAAGAGTCATGAACACCTTAAATAGTTGGATCAGCTGTGTTTGATTAGGGTTGGAGTAAAACTGTGCAGAGCTGAAGCCCTCCAGGAATCCAGTTTGAAACCTATACCTTACAACATTAATCAGCCAATTGAAATAAAGCATTTAGCAGCCCTGTGGTATAATCTGATGGACAATTGGCTCATATGAATCTTTTCACACATTTAATTTGTGACACAACTGGCACAAAATGAGGCAGAAATGCATTTCAGAGAACACATTTTTGATCACCTACACCAGAGGTGTCAAACTCAATTCCTGGAGGGCCGAAGCCCTGCGCAGTTTAGTTCCAACCCTGCTCCAACACACTTACCTGTAGGTTTCAAACAAGCCTGAAGGACTCAATTAGTTTGACCAGGTGTGTTTAATTAGGGTTGGAACTAAACTGTGCAGAGCTGCGGCCCTTTTGGAACTGATTTTGACCTGTGACCTACACCATTCATCTATTATCATCTCACTGTGGAGGGTAAAATAAAATCGGATAAGCCCCTGAGAATAGATTTATCTAAATGTTACCATTCAGCGGGGACCATGCTGCCATCAACATCCCAAAAAGTATTCTTGCCATTCATCTCGGTGGTGTAAATCACCCATCGGTGACGGCCTAAAAGACAATTAACAAAAAAAAATTTAAAAATTAATAAAACACACACAAATCTAAAACACTATGGATTTGTGCACACACAGACAGCATACATCTGTAAATTCATACCGAAGAAGAATCTGTTGTCCTCATAGTATTTATTGCCATATTTGTCAGTACCGATCAAAGCACCTGTCTTGGTTTCTTGCACCCTGAAATGGGTAGAAAAATTGTAAAAAAAAAATTTTTTTAAAAAGTAAACAAAATATACAAATTAATATAATATTATATAAAACAGTTTTCATATATATCAATACACAAAACAAGAACAAGCATTGGCTCGTACTGTGGACAAAAAAGACAATATAGCTGCTATAAGCCCTAGAGTACCGAATATGTTTGTCCAGAATCTGTTCAATAAGGGACCAATGTCCCCTTTAAAAATGCATATTGTTTCCATTTCTGATTAAATGTAGTTAACCCCTTAATGCACTACTTGGGTCTAGAGTGACCCATTTAAGTTTATTTTTCTATATCTATTTTATAGCTTGTGCATAAAAGGGTTAATCATTTTGATTAATTTAAACAAAACTGTTTCATTAAACTGTTAAGTCCATAAAAATAGTAGTTCGGTCTCCTAACATCTTTGGGGACAGAAATACAAAACATTTAAATTCAAACAAGTAGCACAGAATAATATTAAAAGAAAAAAAAAACATACAATATAATAAATAAATAATTTTAGCACTAAACAAATACATTATTTCTGTGTGTGTACACACACAAAAGACAAGCAGTTATTTTGGCTAAGAAAATATGAAATGTATACAATCTGTGCACAGCTGTCATTAAGTTAATGGTTACTAATGTCTACATTTATTGAGAACTGTGATCAATTTGTCTGGAACTACTTGTGCATTACACACGATTTTTTTGCACACAATCAAGAATTTCAACAGACCATGATATAATCATGAGTTACGAGTGTGTGCATTATTGTATATATAGAGAATACTTTACAATACGGCCCATGCAGTTAATTTTAGCTAATGTATTAATTAACATCAACAAACAACAAGCAAAGCTTGTACATCATTTATTAATTATAGTTCAATATTAACGATAACAAAGTTACAATGAAAAACAACAACTAACAAATTCTTGGCCCGATCCTGTTTAGTATGTACATAATTGACCTTCCAAAAGTCTTTCCTACTATTAATATTCAAATGTATGTTGGTGACACAGCTTTATATGTGCACGCAAAAAAACTAAAAAAAAAAAACTGAGGCATTGGTTCAGGTCTCTGATTGGTTGTGTGACTCAAATCTTAATTTGAATACAAGTAAAACTGCTTGTATGTTTTTCTAACAATCATTGACAGTTATTCAACATCCTGATGCATTTGTTAAAAGAGAGTAAAAAGCTCAGGGTTGTCTAATTTTAGATTCACAATCACAACTGACGTTCCAAAACATGCCAAGAAGGTTGTTAAAACTGTTAAATTTAATCTGGCCAACTTCAGGCCTTTACTACCTTACTTGACTAAGAAGCAGCAAATTTTTTATGCACTTCATGATTTTTTCCTCATATTACATATTGTCTTACTAGTTGGTCACACACCAGTACAACAGTGTTAAAATCAGTTGAAACACTTCATAAACAGAGACTTAAAGGATTTGCTCAAAAGACTATCGTGAATTATCATTGTAATATAATATAAAAACATTTTTTATTGAGCTTTGATAATATGAAATATTTGACTGATGCTTGTATGATTTTTAAAATTTTTAAAATCTCCATTATGTGTACAGAGAGAAATAATGGTTGTGGAACACAATCTATTACTAGAGGAGACTGTGCTGTGCAGTTTAGACAAACAACTTTTGCACGGTCAGTCTTCTCAGTTAGAGCCAGTCATTTCCTCTACACACTTCCTATTGATTTAAGAATTTAATTTAAATACAAGTTAAAGAAATGGTTAAAAGCTAATCAAGCTTGTAATCGTTTAATTCTATTCTCTAGCTTTTTAATAAAATTCTTATCACATGCTTTGTCTTTGTGATGTATATAACTTTACTGTTCTTGTATGTGTAATAATGTGTGTTTTTTATTTTTTATTTTAGGCTGCCTTTTTAAAATCTGGCAGGGGGCAACAGATGAAAATTAGCCCTTGTGGCTAACTCTGGCTTATTTACAGTTTTACTATTGATTGATGAGCATTGTCCCTGTTAAATAAAATAAATGTAAAAAAAATAAATTTCAATTCCAACAACTGTAATTTTATTAACTGATGTTAACACACACAAGTAAATACCTTAATAAATGTATTGTCCATTACTTGTTTGTGTTAGTAAACACAGTAACTAGACTTAACTATGTGACCCTTATTATACTTTCTCCATACACATTTGTACACAGCACCTTATAACTTGTGTATATATATATATATATATATATATATATATATATATATATATATATATATATATATATATATATATATATATATATATATATATAACAAATCTGTACATACAACTCAACATCTCGATCTTTTTTGACTAACTGCATCTCTGTTTAATGTTTATCATCTTTTTCTTTTTTATGTTGTCACTTTATGTAAACTGGAAGCTTCTGTAGCCAAAACAAATTTCTTGTGTGTGAAGCACACTTGGCAATAAAACTGATTCTGATAAAATGTTACCAATAAAATTAAATAATTCTTGAAAATTTCTAGTTAACTGAATTATGTGTGAACGATTTGGATTATGTCTGTAAAAAAGTCAATATTTGGTCTGATAACATTTCCTAAAAATTTCAAATGAAATATTGTCATTTAGTGCGTGTGTTTACCAAAATTTACTATTAGTTTGTATAACAAACGATTTCATATGTGATGATTACTGCAAAAAAAAGTGGATTTCTGAACTCTTCTAAAGTTTAAACATTGGTATTGTTTTGTCTAAAGAGACATATAAACGTCATTGTTTCTAATTAAAGCATTTAAAAAAGCTTTAAATGACTATACAATATTATAATAGATTTAGCAAATGTTACTGAATTTAAAACCTTTAATAACTTTATAATGTTAAAGCTATTGCTGCGATTAATTTAAAATAAAATATAATGAGCTCTTATTTTTTTGCTAAGTATCTCAAGTCATAAAATGTTTTATTGTAATTTGTCATTTAGTTTGTTCACACCATTACCTGCAAAGCTATAGTAATACGGTAATACAAATAATCCTTCAAATCAAGAGACTTATGTTCAGTGTTTTGTAGTCATGTGTACAGTCACTATCAGAAAGGTCATTGCTTTAAGCTCAGTGTCTAACTGCTTTACACGCGTTATTTGATATCTCTGATTATATCGAAAACTGTAAAGCACAAATATTTTAGTGTCCCACCTGAACAACTGCACCAGGAAGCCTTTTACACCGCCGTGACCGGTAAATTCACCGACGAACCGCCGCATTAACGTTGCGTACCCCGCCATCGCTGACGGACTCTAAACACCGACGGACTGTCGCGCAACTTCATCGTTCCTCCGGTAAAACGATCACGAACGATGCGTTCCGCCAAAATGTTTGGACAGAATTAAAGTGCAGGTTAGTGACCCCAAGTGAGTCAACGTATAGTAAATTCAGTTAAAAAATTATAAATTTTCTATGAAATACATTTTACTATACATTATTTATGGCTTTTGATATTTCAGTTCACGTATGTCATGCCTGTCATTTAAATCCACCCTACTTTTAACCTTATTTCTTTCTTTGTAAAAATTACATTAGGCCTAAAATATGTTTTATTAAACACTTAAAATGTAAAAATTACTAACTTATTGAGGTATATTTTACATCATAATCGAAGAACTTTGCAGTTCTCTAAACTGTTCATATTCATTTTGTGTTAATCTCTTTAATGTTATTATTACATTTATTTATTTATTTATTACAGCAATTCATTATATTCATATTTCATCTTAAAAATAGCTTAAAATCAAGAAAAAATTACATTTTAAAATATATCCTCTTAAAAATTAAATAGTCTAAGTTAAACATTTCAAAATATTAATTTCTTTGTTTTGTGTCTTAGTTAGCATACTTTTTAAGAAAATATTAGCAATATCATAGTAGTATTAAAACTATGCGTTTCATCAAAACAAGCCTAGTAATATATCCGAAATCTGGAAATATGGGCTAATAATAATTATTGTTATAGGTCATAATTAGCCCTGGGGACAAGAAGGAAATGTCCTCCTAAATTTTCTAAATATATCAGCCTACATGAAAATTTGATTTTTATGGCATATTTCTATCTAAATATTTTACATAAATTATATAGTTGAAGTCAAATTATTATTATATAATTGTTATAATAATAGTCAACCATTCTTTTTTTTAGCCATTTTTCTTTATCAAAAATTTACCCAAATAATGTTTAACAGAGCAAGGAATTTCTCACAGTATTTCATACGAAATTTTTCTTCTGAAGAAAGTTTTACTTGTTTTATTTTAGCTAGAATAAAAGCAGATTTTATATTGATTGTAGATTTTATAATAATGTTTAAAAATGACTAGACTTGACTTGTTTTATTTTATCTTTTTAAACAATTTTAAGGTTAAAATTATTAGCCCCCTTTAGCATTTTCCCATAGTCTACAGAACAAACTATCATTAAACAATAACTTATCTAATTACCCTAACTTGCCTAATTAACCTCGTTAAGCCTTTATATTGCACTTTAAGCTGAATACTAGTATTCTTGAAAAACATCAAGTAAAATATTATTTACTGCCATCATGGCAAAGATAAAAGAAATCAAAAAATATAAATTAGTTAGTCACTTAACTAATTTAGTATCAATATTAAAACTAGTATTTAAAAAATCAACAAAACTGTAAAAAAAAAAAAAACAGCAAAAAATTTGATAATTTCTTAAAGAACCCTGTGAATCTGAAAATGAGTTATTTTATAGAACTGAAAAAAAAAAAAATATTATTCAATGACCCAGCAAATAATTGCAAGTAATTATAGGATTTTTTTTTTAATTCCTCACTAAGGCTAAGACCATTCAACATATACAAAATATTTAGCAAACGTGAGATACTGAATGTCTTTGTATAATTTGTATAATAATAGTATTAGCTCTACTAACTGATTCAAAATTAACACAAATACGGATTAACAAATAATAAGCAAAAATCAAGTAATTGAAATCGTGTAAAATTCAAGAGCTCAAAAACTAAACAAAATGCAAAAAAAGTCACGCATTGAAAGACAAGCATAAATGAAAAATAAAACTCATATAAAATGACATTGCACAAAACTGACAATTCAAAGTTTTCCAAATTGTAAACAAAAGCAGTCCACTCATATTGAATGTGTTTGTTTCCATATGATCTTTTTGGGCTTGTCTCTACATTGTGTTGCCAAATATGCCATTCGAATTTCGTTTAAATCAGGGGTGTCCTAACTTTTTCTTATAAAGGGCCAAAAACCAAACTTGATTGAGGTTATACTTGGCTAATATACTTGGCTAATTTCCTAATTTATTTAATAATGTTTAAAAATGACTAGAAAATATTGTTTTATATTAGCTAATAGTTTTTCTTTTACATTTATTAATGAACTTATTACAATAAAAAACAAAACAATCTCATGTATAACAGAATTACACTAGTTTTTGCCTTAATTTGTTTGTCATTGTCTTCTAGATAGTCCTCTATTCACTGAAAAAAATCAGATTCATTTACAACATTTATTTAAAACATTTTTGTCGCTCAGCAATAGAACAAACAAAAAAAAAAGGCTACTTCCAAATTAAAAATGACAATTGGCGTTCATCTTAACCTTCTCCATCATACTCACTTCTCCTCTCAGATGGGATGGTGGGATAAAAATCAAGAATTACAATGGGCTAACTTTGGCCTGCGGGCCCTAATTCTGGTTTAAATCATGGCTAGATTCAGCATCATTATTGGTCCACTATTAGTTTTGACAGCTGCTTTTCTAGCCAGTCAAAGGAAAAAAAGTGTGATTAATGATGCTTTTTTGTTCAGAGCTTGTTTCCGAAAACAGATTTCAACCTTTAATAATAATAATAATAAAAAACAACAACACAAATATATATTTAAACTTTACAGAGTTCACAAGGTTCTGAAAGAAATAATCGGAAAATTCCTCATGATTGTCCAAAAGACTTTTCTATTCAATAGTGATTACTAAATGATTTTTCACAATGATTGCACGCTCAGAGTAAGGATTAGCCAATGAAATATATAAGATAATAAATAGAAAACAATGACAACATTTCCTGAACATAAAAAAAACAAAAATAAAAATATACACATTTTTGTCCTTGATTTGACATTTATTATTAGTCCTATATACACAATTCATATACAGAGAAAGTCAGTGCTTTTGGGGGGGAAGGTTTCTGGAACAAGTTCTCCAGAACATGTTCTTGCACTTCTGTGTCTTCATAGACACTTTTTAAACATAATTACAGCAATACAATAAAAGCCCGAAGGACTGAACCACAACAGTTGTGGTAATCCATATTACAAAACCCATAGACACGATCACTGACCAAAATGAAAAAGCAAAGTCATAACAAAATGATTTTCTCATTCAAAATTCGTATGATTATATCATAAAGCGTCTGAATGTGCAAAGCCGGAGACATGTTAAAGCTGATGGGTGAGGCTGTGGGCGGGGTTCGTCACTCGACGCCGCTGATTGGCTGGCTGTTGTAGTCGGTAGATTCCATTTTGAGGATGTACGGAATGATGCTGTCGATCTGGACGTTGCCAATGAGGCCTGCGAAAAACAGCTCTTCGGTGACTGCTGCGCTCATGAGGCGCAGAGCCGGCAGACGAACTAACAACTTTGAAAGACTGAAGGAGAGAAGAATTAATGATTAGAGATAATTACCTCATAAAACAAGTCTTCAGAATTTCAAATAATGTCAGAACTATTAGCCCTTCTGGTAAATTTTTATTATTTTATATTTTTCCCCCAATTTCTGTCTAATGGAGGAAGGATTTTATTAAACACATTTCTTAATATAATAGTTTTAATAACTACTTTCTAAAACCAATTTCTTTAATTTTAGTCATGATGACAGAAAATAATATTGTAATGTAATGTAACGCGTATTTATATAGCACATTTATCTGGTATGGCCATATGCCCAAAGCGCTTCACAATCAAGAGGGGGGTCTCTCCACACCAGCACCAGTGTGCAGCATCCATTTGGATGATGCGACGGCAGCCACGAGACAACAACGCTAGTTTGCTCACCCCACACCATCTATAGGTGGAATGGAGAGACAGTGATAGAGCCATTTTGGTGGATGGGAATTATTAGGAGGCCATGATGGGTAAGGGCCAGTGGAGGGAATTTGGCCAGGACACCGGGGTTACACCCCTACTCTTAACCAGAAGTGCCATGAGATTTTTAATGACCACAGAGAGTCTAATGTCAGTTTAACGTTTCATCCAAAAGACAACACTCACTGACAGCATAGCGCCCCCCTTCACTCTATAGGGGCATTAGGACCCACTAACGGCACTTCCAACAGCAACCTAGCTTTCACATGTGGTCTCCCATCCAGGTACTGACCAGGCTCAGCCCTGCTTAGCTTCAGTAAGTAACCGGCCTTGGGCTGCAGGGTGATATGGCTGATATTTTACTAGATAGATACTAGTATTTAGCTTAAAGTGCAATTTAAAGACTTAACTGGGATAATAAGGTTAACTAGGCAAATTAGGGTAATGAGGCAATTATTTGTTTTACAATGGTTTGTCCTGTAAATTTTATTTTTATTTATTGTAATTTTATGTTTTAATGCCATATCAGCAGAAATAGCTATACTCATGACAACCCCATACTAAATATATAATAACAAACCTTCATTGTACCAAAAAACTGAAAAAAAACTTTGTCCTGTAAAACAATACTTTTATTATAATTATTATTATTTTCTTGTATTATAAAAGTTTGTTCACCCCTTGCAGATTGTACAAAATGTTAATAATTTTATTAAAATAGGGGCATTATACATAATTCAAACATATATTTTTTTAGTCCTGAGCTGAATAGGATATTTCACGTACAGGTTTACACATAGTCCACTAGAGCCAATACTATTTAAAATGACATATATTACTTTTCAAATACAGCAATTACATAATTAAATACAATTACACAGTTCAAAAGTTTACAAACCCTTAATGCTTTATCCGCTTGTTAAGTGGTGACGTTTTTGTGACGTATGTAATACTGTTTCCGGGTCCAAGCCTCCATTCATTTGAGTGGAGAAATCATTCGTTTATGCTCACAGTTTATTCCTATGACACATTAAAGTTAATTTTATATAAAATCATAGAGTACACAACAATCTCTGGGCTTGCTGCATAACAAATACCAAAAATTTAACAATTTATAAAAAAAATTAATCACTTTCTGGCAATCGGATATTAGGCATGGACATATATACTGCGATCGTTGTCGCTTTGTAAACGTTTATTATGACCATTTCATGAATCTCCCCATTCAGTTGAATAGAGCGCTTGGACTCGGAAGCCGCTTCGCGTGACGTCACACTTAACAAGCGGATAGTCTTTTACAGTTTTTAGTTGTACATAATTTTTGTGTATTTGATCCCTTTCCAGAAAATACAATCACTTTGAGATCCCTCTTTTAATACAGAGGACAACAAAAAAGATTGAATTAAAAACCAGAGCATAAAAACTTTTGAACAGAATGAGAACCTATTTGGATCTATGTTTAAATTTACTTTTAGACAACACAATATCAAGGTATAAACTTCAGAAAAGGTATTAAATTAATATGTATTGAAATAACCATGATTATCAAATCACACTAAATAAAAACATTAGTTTTATTGACCTATACAAGTATTACACCGTCTTTCGGATGAGACGTTAAACCGAGGTCCCGACTCTCTGTGGTCGTTAAAAATCCCAGGATGTCCTTCGAAAAAGAGTAGGGGTTTAACCCCGGCATCCTGGCCAAATCTGCCCACTGGCCCTTGTCCATCATGGCCTCCTAACCATCCCCATATTCCAATTGGCTTCATTACTGTCTCCTCTCCACTAATCAGCTGGTGTGTGGTGTGCGGTCTGGCGCAAAATGGCTGCCGTCGTATCATCCAGGTGGATGCTGCACACTGGTGGTGGATGAGGAAATTCCCCCATTGTGTAAAGCGCTTTGAGTGCCCAGAAAAGCGCTATATAAATGTAAGGAATTATTATTATTATTATTATTATTATTAAAGTCCATGCGAAAGGTGTGTTTATATTGCTAGCGCTCATTGTTATTATTTAGGTGAACAATTAACTAGCCCCGCCCCTACTCAATATTCAGTTTCAGTTGGAAGCGCATCAACATACTGAAATAAAAGTTTCAGCAACTTGAGACTCACACTGACTTTTCGATTTTTCTCAAATTCATAGCTCAATAAATCCACAAAATCCATATATCCACTTTCTGTAAACTGCTGGAGTCACTCACCGATACGTGTCCTCTGGATACACTTTGCTCACATAATCCTGAAGTTCCATATAGGCTTTTTCCTGAAATCGTTCAATCTGAAGTGTGCCATCTACGGCTGAGTGATCTACAGCACACATTGACACACAAACAATCAACTCCATTCTTTCTTTTTTATAAAATTTCATTTATTATTTTTCTGATGAACTCCAGTTGTTCTCACCTGGACTAAAGAGGACCACAGCTTTGAGGTAAGCATATTCATAGGCATCAGGACTCATGCGACTCATACTGTTACAAAATTCCTGCATGCGCCAGATATGCTCCATGACTTGCTTCACCCGCTCTGGAGACAGTTTTTCTGTGGCAAACACAGACATTTCTCATTAGCCATCTATGTGTCAGTGAAATAACTCAAGAGTTTACAAACTGGAGTGTGAAAATTTGCAATATTTTTTAAATTCAAAAAAATTAGGGAAAGCTAATTTTCTTTTAATTAAAATCAATAAAACTAAATATTAAATCATGCATTTTCTACAATAGTTTACAGAAGATTCTCACTAAAAAAATGTTTTAACTTGTTCCAACAAAGTACAAATTATACAATTATACACATTTAATTTTAATATTTTGTTAAGTTTGACTAAATTGACTCTTTATTTACATTTACTACTCCTTCTTTAAATGAAAAATCCCTTTTGTAAACGTAATATGGTGTGGTGCCTAAAAGGTTTGCCAAACCCTTAATTTAACTAAGAAAAGTGTATTAAAAAGAAGTTAAAAATGTATAGCACAAATAGAAAACACACATAAAAATGGAAGAAAAACAGGTGTAACAAATCCACATACCTTCATCCAAGCTGGTCTGTAAGTGGTTGATTATGGCCGTGAGGATGGTTTCTACATTCATAATATGTGAACACTGAGCCAAACCTAAGGCGAACAACTCATTCCAACAGGCCTTCATCAGTGTGATGCCGTTCTCTGAGCTAAACACCAAAAACACACAGAATACAGCCAAAGTTAAAACTATTATCTAATCTCCAGCTTATCAGTTTCAATTACAGCATTCTGTCAACATTTAATCAGGTTCTGATTTCTTTTGCTGTCTGTTCTGAATTATGCATATGATTCAATCTTATATAGTGCTATTCACCATATTAAAAATAATAATTATGTGAACAAACGACTAATTTCAGCCACAGCTCTAGCATTTATTTAAAGTATAAAGGAGACAATTTGATTGGACTGAAATTTCAGAGAAGCTGAATTGTAGAATCTTTGCTGAATATTAGAACCATAATGGTGGAAGTGAACCTTTGAACGCTTGTCTTCTATAAGCTACTTTTATCATTGTTTTGGAGTGGACTAGCTTATAGAACACTATACTGCTAACTTACTTAGAAAATAAAAATAATAATTTTAATCTCATGTAGACCCATATGTATAAATCCTGGTGCAAAGGACACTTTTTATAAAGTGTAAAAAGCATTTGTACAGCATCTTGTATTACTGTTGCACGATTAACGATATACGATAACCAAATTTGTGACCCACGATCATTGAATAAATATTGTCGTGATTTTACAGTATAAATACAAAGAAGTTATTTTAATGGGAAGACTTTAGGGATTGTATTGGTTAAAAGCATGACCTGACTGTATCTAGATTGCAATTGTTTTTTTTTTTTTTCGAGAAATGTTTAAAATTCACAGTTTTATTTAATTAATTAATTTTATTTGCCACGGATAAGAAAGAAAATAGTCAGAGAAGCCTCTCCATTCTAAACATGTTCTGTTTATGTTGTTGTTGTTGTTTTATTTGTGGCTGTGAAATTAAATAAGAATACACAAGTCAATAAAAGTTAACCAAAGGAATAATCGTCATTATTAATCTTGATTAACATTAAGCAAAATAATCGTGATGATCATTTTTTTCTGTTATTGTGCATCCCTATCTTGTATAAAGAAAACTGCTTAAACGGCTTTTAAATCATATTATAAATGGCTCTAATATATCATTTGGAAAATGTTTAGTTTGTTCAGAAAAAGTTTTTCTACTCATCATAACGGTATATTAATAAATTAATGAAAAGGCATTGCTTTACTGTTTGTGACTGGTGGTATTAACCCAATAAAAATACAATTATTAAATTATTAATATACAAAAAAATAAATCAATAATAAAGTATTTTATTGAAGTGTTATTACAACCTAAAATTACAATTATTTTACTAATTTCACGACCACAGGCTGTTCCAAACTCAGGAGAGCTTTGTTCGTCTTCAGAACACAAACTAAAGCATTTATAAAATCTTACAAATAGAAATTTTTCAGAACAGCTCAGAACCTCCCTAAAATTTTATGGACACAACCTAAGAAACACTGCATGTGCTCTCAATGTTGAAGGCAATTCAGAATGCTCTATAGTGAACTCTATATAAAATATGTTGCAGAATGCAGGCAACACTGAATCTAAACATACTCATCGTTCATTCAGTACTTATAAACTATTCAGTACTTCTAAATCACATTAAATAACTAGTTGTGCTCAAAAGTTTACATACGCCTTGAAAAATATTTTAAATGTAAATAATTTAAACTAAATAAGAGAGATCATACAAATGCACGTTATGTTTTATTTAATGCTGGCCTAAGTAAAATGTTTTACATAAAATATGTTTATATATAGTTCACTACACTAAAGTCTAGCTGAAATTAATAAAATAACCACAAAAGTAACCATCAAAAGTGTACATACCCTTGGTTTTCAATACAGTGTGTGGTTTACTAATGATCTATGAAGGTTTTTTGTCTGCTTTATGATGTTTTTTTTTTATGAGTCTCTTGTTTGTTCTGAGCTGACTGCCATTTTTCAGAAAAACCCTCAATCATTTGGAGATAATTTGGTTTTCAAGCATCTTCTGCAGATTTGAACCCTTTCCAGCAGTGACTGTATGTTTGTGAGATCCATCTTTTCACACTGAGGATGATTGAGGGACTCAAAACACAACTGTTAAAAAAGGTTTAAACCCTCACTGATGATCCAGAAGAAAACACAAGACATTAAGAGTGTGTGTGGGGGATCTTTAGAGGTTGACGATTAAGGTAAATTGCATTTAATTTATGTTCCAGGATGAATCCAAGGATTTTCTGTTATTTCCAAAGGGCAGTACTAAATGAAGGAAAAATTATATTTTAAAAAAATAGGAACAAATTGGATATCTTCATCCTGTTTAAAAGTTTTCACCCCCCAGCTCTTAATGCCTTGTGTTTCCTTCTGGAGCATCAGTGAGGGTTTGAGCCTTTTTTAACAGTTGTGTTTGAATCCTTCATTCATCTTCAGTATGAAAAGATGGATCTCACAATCACACAGTCACTGCTGGATCTGCAGAAGATGCTAGAAAACTGAAGAATCTGCAGGAGATTGAGGATTTTTCTGAAAAACAGCAGTCAGTTTAACTGTTCAGAATAAACAAGAGACTCATAAACAACCGCCACAAGGCAGAAAAAGAAGTCCTAGATCATTAGGAAACCACACACAGTCTTTAAAACCAAGGGTACGTTCACTTTTGTAGGGGGTTATTTTAATAATTTCAGCTAGATTTTTTTTATCTATTTACTCAGGAGAGTATTAAATATGAAATAAACTACATTTTGTAGGATCTCTCTTATTTTATTTAAATCATTCACATTTTATTAAATTACTCAAGGAGTAAGTAGATATTTGAGCATAACTGTTTACTGTACCTGACACACTGTTGGAGTGGGGTTGGAGAGGGGGCATTAAAAATGACTTAAATGATTTGTAAACTGATTGTACTGTTGAATCATTAAATAAAAAAGTATAAATCATAAAAAAAGAAAAATAATTTGATGATTAAAATGATATTTTACTCTTTTTACAACTTTATTTTGTGCTGTCTACTCATTGCCTAAAATAGTGTTTAAATCTAGGTCATTAACACACACTCACCCGAGAGCCTGGAAAGCTGGAATCGATCGAGCCCAGTGCATGGAGAGGAAAAGCAGACGGGAAGCTGATTCACAGATGTAATTCAGATTTAGGAAATCCGGCATGGGCAGCGGCATCATCAGCTACACACAATATTTAACATTTAGTGACTGGAGTGGCCCCATTTGAGCATATTTGCTGCTATAACTGAAGCGTGTGGAAATCAACTGACCTTAAAGGGCACGTGCATATCTGAGAGTAGCGGTCCTTCTAGTTCTAGCAGCGCGGAGGTCTGTTCGTCATCCCTAACAGCCACAGCCCCATCAGCCACCTCTTCTCCACAACTCTCCTCAGCCTTTAGCACCTTTGTGAGCGTGTCAAAAGCTCTGGAGACAAACAAACCAACAAACCTAAGCTTTTGAACATCATAAAAAAGCTGTAAAATACCAAGCAAAAACACAAGGAGCTGTCATCACTGAAATAATATTAAAATTATTTGAAAATAATTAACTTTTTGTTTTTTTTAATGATGTGTGCTTAATCCTTGTGCAGTCTTATAATTTGGTGTACACCATTTGTCCTTCGGGGAAAAAATGACCCGCATTCACTCAACCTCTAAAATAAAGCAGCTAAATTTAATTTCAAATCTATTTAGCATAAAGAATTAACCTCATCCTCATCGCAAACTCTGTGAATGTTTAAGATTTCTCTTATCATTGTGGTTTATTTAAATCAATGTTTAATCAGTGGACAATACTCATTTTTGACTCAAGTAAAGGGTATATTTTCTAATGCTAAATGTACCTGCATAAGTATAACAACGTAGCAGATTCTTGTGGTCCATGTGTGATGGAGTGAGCCAGTAGTTTTTTGTGGTGTAAAAATGGTTTTATACATGTTAGGTCCTCATTGACCCAAAGTTAGGGTTGTCAAAATATTGGAATTCAGTACAAATCAATACTGGAGAAAAAAAACAAAAACTTTTAAGCACCTTAAACAGCGCTGATTTGTCATTGTGCTTACGTGCTTAACAGAAATGTGTGATTGGCTGTGAAGGTCATCGGTTCACTAAACTCACCGATGTTTACTGAGTGTAAATAAACACAGATACACAAAGCAAAATCTTACTCAGTTTAGACAGTATTTGGTTCCTCTTTAAATAAGAGCAAACAGGTTGGTAATAAGTAAAGCTGCTGTGTGTGGAGTTGCTTATTAATCGAGTTGATTGCTGAGATTTTGAGAAATTCAATGTATTATATTTCAGCTGATTCCATCTAAGGCTGTGACTGAAGTCAGTAGTAGTTTTGTGTCTCTCTTCTATGTTTCTGCTTAATAACAGTAAGTGTTCATCATCAGTCCTCAATATTTACCTAATTAATCCCTTCCTTGTCTCATTTACTTGAGTAACATTAACTCAATTTAGAGAGTGACCAAATACTTGTAAGCCAAATACAAATAAATATTTGCAGACCAAATACAAATAAATTTTACTCAGAGGATTTTGCTGTGCAGAGAGACTGGAGCATTTTAAAGCAGTGATTCATCAGCAGATCGCTTGATCGCTTGTCAGCTTATAGACAAACTAGCTAATTGACATGACTTTGAAACGCTCCAGTGTCCTTGTATTTGTTATTTGTACTCAGTAATCAGCAGTGAGTTCAGCCAACTGATGACCTTCACTGCCAATAGACGTTTTTAATAATTCAGTATTGGTATCAAATTCCAGTGTCGTGACAACCCTTCACGAAGTACAGACGATTTACCCTGAATGTGTGTACCCTTCACGATAACAATAAATGATTTTTTTTTTCTAATTTTGGTGTCATTTTAGAGTAAGTCACCAAACTTCAAGATATTTTTTTCCTCTCTGTTGTTAAAATGGTACCCAAGTCAATTTAGACTCAACAGAAGGGTTAATGTAGAAATTACTTCATAATCTTACATCACCACCACAAACAATCAGTGACTTTCTGTAAAGATTTTTTTTTTCTTAAATTTGTAATTGACGACTGTTCATTTTGTAACAACAACCTGCCCAGAGACTACAGATTTTTTACAGAGTTTTATAGCTAGTACTGGCACAACATGTACAAATGAATGAAAACAAAATAAAAAATAAAATCTGAGCTATACAAGTTCAGATACAAGCATTTGCTCACCGAGTAACGTCATTTGACTCCTCCCTCTGAATGTCTGTCATAACGCTGTCATCGTTACTCATGGTATCGATTCCTGATAGGTCAGTACTGCTGTCCATCATCTCCCGACTTTTGTTGAGGTGACCGAGAGATGTGACCACGTTGGCCAGAGTTCCCAGATCTCCCTGACTGGAATCATTCTAAAGTGAATGTCACAAAACAAGAATATACATATGACCATATTACTTTTACACAATGAATCTTATGACAAAATATTAGGGTTAGATTTTTCAACAGTTGATGTTTATTAAGTGGAATGGGAAAATAGATCATTATGTAGAGCTATGTGCATCTTTTACTTAAGGCTTATCTAAAGGAATTTGCATCTTAACAATATATAATTTTAACACTTTGGTTTTCATAGGTTTTTTTATGCATATTACTACTAAAAAAAACTTTTTTACCTGATCTGGTGAAGAAGGAATTAAAATAGTGTTGTCAAGTTTGGAAATGGACTGCTGGATATTCAAGAGCATGTTGGAGTCCAGTAAACTAGTGGGCCTGCGACCAGACAAAGAATGAGAACTAGAAATAAAAACAACAACAACAACAACAACAACAAAAACAAACACACAAATTCAAAAGAAAAGACAGCACTGTGTGAACTTAAGCAAATGTGTTTTGCTTTACATGATAATTAAACGCTCCATAAAATATTGACTGCCTTTCTTTCTTTTTTATACTTCTTTATTGTGCACTAAACATAAAATAATTTATACCAGAATACCAGAGTGTTTTGAGTGTAATTTTCCCTGCCAACTGTTTGAATCCAGTGATTTAAGACTGATGCAATGACATTCCAGTACCAAATTAGGAAGTTACTTTGCCTGAACAAACTGCACAAAAACCCAAATACAGATATACATTTGTAACAGTATGGTTCCTATAACAATACATAAAATCTGAGGTCTCATCTTGTTAATAAAAATAAGTACTTAAAAGAATAGTTTTTAAAAAAGATCAAATTTGTGTTTCAGCAATAGCTCAGATTCTCATAAACATCGTGTCAGGAAAGCACGACTCTGTGATCCGTAGTAAATCTCATCCGAAGGTCAGAGGGCGCTCTTGCATAGAAACCGCAAATAAGCCGCAAAGAAGAGACAAAGGAAATCAAAGAGTGGAGAATTTAACTAATAACTAACTAATAAATTTTGGAGCAAAAACGTGTTATATTATAATGTAGTATTTTCCTGTGTTTTCAGATTAGCAACAACACCGCAGGTTTAATTCACTTAGAAGCAATGCAAACAGCTGTCAAGTTGCAGAATCATTTGCTCATTAAATTGTCTGCAATCTTATGAGTAGCTTGTCAGTGAACTATAGCTCTGTATAATAAACGCTTCTCCATCTGAAAGCAGCTGCTGGAAAAGATTTACAGCGGATTACAGAGCTAGTTTTACAGCCGAAACGCACATGAAAATTTGTTTTTGATTAATTGTGCATCTTAGTCAAATACAGATGTAAAAATAACACCTTTCAGCCACTGTTTAAAAGCCTACATACAGCCTAGTTTAGAAAATCTGGCAAAAGCACAATCGGTGCATTTCAATTATACGTACAAGCTGTATAGCTCATATCATTTCAATTTCAATTTAAATTAATAAACTAATAAACTACAAAAAGTGTAATTAAAAAAACTAAGTATGTTTATTTTTTCATTTAATAAAAAACATATCCAAACAAAAATTTAAAAAAAGGTAAGCTAAACTGTTTATATGCTTTTTTCAGATTAACAAATTGTAAATGAAAATATAAACTTAATTTTGGTAGGCTAATCAAATAATATGTTGATTTTTTTTAATTTGTTTTCAACTACTGTTCGGGGTTTAACAGTCGGCTAAATGAAAACATTTTACACGTGTCTATCTTTCATTTTAAATATGTAGTAAATAAAAAACTTGACACCAGAGCTGGATATGGAGTGTGCAAACTTTATGTTTGGCAGTAATACCGCATATCATGCTATTGAACCATCCAGATTTGCCTAAAGAGAAATTTCCTTACCACAACAGCCCTAAAAAGAACTCACAAATTCACACTCATACCTAGTGCTTTCTTTTTGGCTGACAAACGTTGGCATTGCAGCGAGAGGGCTGCATAGGTTTTTGCGGATGTAGATCTTTTCAATAGAGGGCGCACAGTTTGCTGGCTTCTCTCTCGACACCTCCACTGGTTTCCTCTCACACTGAACAGCTGTTGAGGGAATTTAAGGAAACACTAAAGATGCTGTACAATCTGAGGCTTTAGTTATCTATTTGTTTGGGACTCACAGTCTTGTTTCATGCCGAGCGCCATGCAGCGCTGCAGTCTGCAGTACTGACAGCGGTTGCGATGGTGTTTATTGATGACACACTCTCCAGACCCACGGCACGTGTACACCAGATTCTTCCTGATGCTGCGCTTGAAGAAACCTTTACAGCCCTCACAGCTCACTGCACCATAGTGACGACCTGTACCCACATACAGTTACAGCATTTATTTACAAAAGTGTTTCTTTACAAATCACAAAATCTTTCTAATTCTTAAGTTCTTCCACCCATGAAATTAGCAAACTTACAATGTCCCATTGTGCTGTCTTTTTCGTGCTATGGTTTTGCTACATGTGGTGAGTGTCACATCACCTTCCCATGTTGTCGCAAAATAAGTGACATCACCCGGATTGAGGAACTTGACTTAACCTAAATAACTATAACTTCTTTATTTTAACTTTTAAGAAACTCTTAATAAAAACTATTTTATTCAAATCAAGCCCAAAACTAAGCTAATAATCTGGTGATCTGCTGTGTGGGTCCCATACCTGAAGCCTTGTCTCCACAAACTACACAGTACTCCACTGGAGGCTTCATCGAGCCCTGATCTGAGCCATCTGTAACAAACTGAAAAACAAAACACTTTGAATGAAATGAATATTCTCACAAAACAGTCATATGTTTGGTCAGCAGGCTAAGAGCAGGTGGGTGTTTGAATGCATTTCACCATGTGTTTACACTATATATCCTGTTTATAAAGTACTACCAGGAAATTACTGTTAAATTGCCAAAAATTACTTTAAAAGTAAATACACCAATATACACTTTTCACCATTAAACCACTAGAAATTTCAAAGCAAGTTTCAAAATACCCTTCAAGGCATAGTTTGCCCAAAATATGAAATCAACATAAGATTTACTCACAATCAAGTGTTACCAAACCCCTATATGATTCTCTTTTCTATTAAACACAAAGTAAGACAATCTGAAGAATGTTGGAAACCATTGACATCCACAGAAAGAAAAAACAAATAATATGAAAGTCAATGGTTACAGTTTTGCAACATTTTTCAAAAAAATATCCCATATAAACTCCCTAAAGGTTTGTGACAAGTGAAGAGTGAGTAAATGATTAAAAATAATTTTGGGGGGATGAACTTCCTCCTGATATAATTAAAGGGGAAACACTGCTCATATTTAACATTTTAAAGTTATATTTATTTGAAACTGTGAAAATATGTTAACTGAGGTATGTTTATTATTAATAAAAAATATTATTGGTCCATACTACTGTGAAATGTGACATGCAGTGGAATTTGTTGTCATGTAAGGTTAGTCAAAGTTCATATTTCACTTACTATATTTTAAGAATGATATTATCAAAATGCTCAATAAATCAACTAATAATGACTTCAAATGTAAACGTCTGCATAAGCCTCAAAATTACGCTGATGTGCCTTGCCTGTAAGATGATTTGAATATGAAGTGTTGATTATTAGCCTACAAGAACTCCATTTTCTATCATGGGAAGGAAAAAGGTTAGGTTCTTTTCATTCATTTCAACTCATAACATTTGAGTGAGTATTTTGGTTGATGTTTCCAGAATATCTATCTATTTTATATTATTACCGTGCAATAAAATTTCTGATACAGTGAAATAGAACTTTGGTCATACCATCCATCCCCTACTTTGTGGTTTTAATGAGCTTGCTGACCTGGATTTGTTGTCCTGATAGTTCAGGTGATGCGAAAAGCAGTTGATTGACGGCTGAGCCATCGGAAGAGGTTAGGATGACCTTGGCTGGTGAGTTCTCCTGTTTGATGAACAGTTTCTCTTGATTGGGGTAGTCCAGGTTAGCTAATATAAACTGCTGCTTTCCAGCTCCAGCCTGATCAATGGCCGTGACTATTTGCACTTTCTGGGCCAACTGTTGCTCGGTCACAATCTGAGACAACACGTGACAACAAACTTCATTAGATGGAAACATAAATAATGACATTTGTAGTATGAAGTAATTTGTGGTGTCAAAAGCTCCCTTGAAATCTTAGGGTGCTTTCACACCTGTGAATCGATTCAGTTGTTCCGAAACAGAGATTACAAATGTTACATTGTTGCTCTTTGCTCTTGGAGCGGTTCGCTTTCACATTGCAAAGTTTCTAATCGGACCAAAAGAGCTACAACAAGTCACGGGCGAGTAAACTCTCCTTACATTAGTCAGAGTGTCAGGGTTTATTTTGCAGCGTCCCGCTCAGCTGTCAGGAGAGGTGGTGGTTTGATGGTGATTGACAGGGTGCACGCGCACGATGTGTCTGAGGAGAGCTGCGGTGGGGAGGGGTGAGAAGGGTAGACGATGCCTATTTGAGGACTGGGAGGGACACGCGAGATTACCGGGAGATCATCACTCGTTTGCGGGCATCCGGAGACTCGCGAAACTTCCCGCCATACTCATAATTCTCTCGTCATATGGCCGTAAGCCTATTACATATCCATAAAACACTGTGATATAACCGCGTTCGGATCGGATCGCTTTCTCACTGCAATCGAACCGCTCCAGGGTTCGTTTCAATCGAGCCGAGACCACCTCATTCAAGCGATCTCGGAGCGATTACTTTGGCGCGGAACAGAGTGCGATTGCCCTGTTCACATATGCCAATCGAACCGCGCTAACTGGGCAATCGAGACACGTTCCGAAACAAAAGTGTAGGTGTGAAAGCACCCATAATGAAGTATTAGTATGTTAGTCTTAAAGATATCTTTAAGCCAGTGTGCTCTAATACTAGGGCTGCTTGATATTGGAAAAATCTGATATTGCTATATTTTATTTTTCTGCATAAGTATTGCAATATGAACACAGTTTCATGAGATAGTTTGAAAAGCTCTATTTGACAGTTTCTGGGGAGACTAACAGTATTTAGATATGGAAATTGAATAATCACAATGCAAAAAATGCTTTTCTTACATTTTGCTTTAGGTTTGTCACAATACTATTAATGCATGTTACGATAATATACCAGCTGAAGAATCGTGATACCAAGTTTTATTGTGATGCTGTAATTCATAACTCAAATCTATGAAACGATAAAAAATTAAACACTATTTTAAAATGTTATAATAGGTCTACTAGAATTTAATTCATAAATCTCTTATTATTAAAAAAGTATTATTTTCAAGTCACTTTACTTAAAATGTATTCCTTCCTTTTGTTTATTTTGTAGCTAACTGACCAGCAAAAAAAAAAACATAAAACTAAGATGCAAATTATACCAAACGGAATTAGTAAAAAAAAACAAAAAAAAAAAACAAACGCTTCCTGTTGCTATTTTGGGTTTTTCATCTATTGTTTTTTTCAGTCTTTTCAGGTAAAAATCCAAGGTAATTCAAAATTTTACTTTGTGAGTCACTCTTTTTAAAAGATTGTTGCGGTTGTTGTTGCCGTTTAACCCTAGTTTGCTTTGTCTTGTTTCTACTACAAATATCTAAAAAAAATCCTAGATAAAGTAAAAATATTAACTTAGGAAGAACAAAGGTTTTTTCTTAAAACAAGCAAAATAATGAGTTGAATAAAATAATCTTGTTTTTGCTTTAAAATGTAAATATTTGTACTAAAAACAAGTTTTTTTTGTTTTGCATAAATCATATAAATTCCGTATAAATACAGTAATTAAAAACATTCTTTAGCTCCCGCTCAACTATATTCCAGACTCAATATTGTGATGTGACTATTGCAGATGCACACATTACAATATCGATGCTGAAACAATATATTGTGAAGCCCTATGCAATGTGTTGGTGAATATACATGAATGTACTAAGAAATTATCAGTTTGCAACATCAAGCAGCACAACAAGCTATTTTTAACATCTAAAAATGTTATAGAAGTGAATGAGACTGGTAGTCTTTAGCCAAAAAGATTTGGATGGTTGTGCCAGTTTGTACGTCAAGAATAAGGTCAATATATTAATAATGCAGTGTAAGTCACCTGTAGGCCACCATCTGCAGAGACCAGCTGAATTCTGGGACTTTCTCCTTCCATGATGCCAATTCTTCAGAAAATGGCTAGCAATGCCCCATCAGCTGCACACCCACCTAAAGCAACACTGATACTTTCAAGAACATGAATAGAGAGTTATATAAATCAAAAACTAGTTGAAAATAACAATGACAAAGCTGTTTCCTTGGAACCAGTCAGTTGTATGTAATATGACTTTAAACTACTGAAGTGTTGAATGACGGAGCTTGTGCAAGCATACATATCACTAAAACAAAATGTTGGAGCGTGTATTATCAAACTAATTTTTTAGCCCTAAATGACAAGAAATGTATGGTGAAAATATTCAATAACACTTCAAATTATACTTAAACTTTGTTGAAATGTGCACGTGTCAAACACCTGTTTACCCATACAAGTCAAATTAAATGTATTTTGAAAGACTGTGTAGACACATGTAAAAAGGAAGTAAGAAATGTGCTTGGAAACACTATGTTTATACAAATAATAAAATGAAATATACCTTGAATGATTGTGTGCATACATATAAAAAAGAAGCATACTATAGTTTGGGCTTGATAAGTCAGGGTTTTGTTTTGCTGTTTAATTAGGACAAACGAGTGCCCCCTAATACTACACACAAACACACACACACACACACACACACACACACACACACACACACACACACACATTTGTATAATTTTTTTTTATATATTGTTCTGCAATCCAGATGTAAGTTGTTATCTGCAATTGTTTGAAAACTTCCGATTCATTTGACTTTGTGAAAATTAATAGGAATAATAATAATAATGATAATAATAATAAAATAAAGAAAAATTATAATTAAAAATACAAGTTGGCAACATCAAGCAGCATAACAATCTGTTTTACGATTCAAAATCATTGGAGATCAATGAGAACAAGCCAATAAGATTTTAATTGCTATGCCATAAAAATCAGGTCAATAATATGGTCCTGGCTTTTAAAATTTTGCATAAGGGTCCCTTGCACAGGAAGAGTCATATTCAGAGGGGTCTGTATGTTTAAGTGTACTCTATATTTGACGTGGCATTAAGTAGTGTTCTTAGCACTGTTACATAACTGAAGAGCTCTTACACGAGCATTCCTCTTCTATTTTGGCAAATTTATCAACAACTTTTATATAAATATAAAAAAACAACTTGGTAGTTGCACTGTTACACTAACCAAGATTTGTCCCAGCTCTCATGTTGCTCTTTTCTTGCTTTGATCCTTATTTAGAAGGTTGATTGAATAAAAGCATCTTCTGAATGATTAAACATACTGTAAACACATTGCTGCAAGTCCTATAGGCCCATGTCTCCATTATTTTTTTTAAGAAATACAAGTGATTTAACAACATTTAATCATTTATTTTATTTTTGGCTTAGTCCCTTTATTAATCTGGGGTCGCCACAGTGGAATACACCGCCAACCTATCCAGGATATGTTTTAGGCAGCGGATGCCCTTCCGGCTGCATTCCATCACTGGGAAAGATTTAACAACATACAGAAATAAATAAATAATAGATTACAAACTAGTACTGTATACTTAAGTACTAGTAAAAAAAATTACACATGATTTTTAAAAAGTTAACAAGTTTCTTCTGTTTAACTTAAGTAAAGACATTTTGCAGAATGTTGGAAACCAGTACTAATTGACTTCAAAAAAACATTGTGAATGTCAGTGGCTTTCAGTTTCCACCATTCTTAAAAATATCTTCTTTTGTGTACAATAAAAAAAGAAACTCAAGGTTTTGAGGACACTTGAGGATCAGTACATCTAAACTGACAATTAAAGATACTTGCAAAGCAATTAGCAATATTAGGTGATGTTCATTTCTACATCTGGGTTGGGACTTGTGGAGTCGCGCATCAATGGATTTGTTTTTCAGTGTTTGGACTTTTTACGCAGTGAATTTTAAACCACACTGAACTAAAATAAACTGAACTTTAATTCTGAAAACTGGACTGACACAGTTTCAGTTTACTAGAACATCTATGTTAAGCTGCTTTTAAACAATCTACATCATGTAAGCGCTATAGAAATAAAGATAAATTGAAATAAAATTATACTAATTCTTTAAAATAAAATATAACAGATTTACATTTTCTATTAGTTATTTGGCAGACGTATTTGTCCAAAGCAACTTCACAAACGAGGAAGGTGTTAATTTATAATAAAGAGGCAAAACTCACAAAAAGTGCTACTTATACAGATTCTCGCACTGTTTAGAAAAAAAAGTGGTGTAAAATGTGGATATTATTTTAAAAGATGTAGTCAAGCACTTATGTTTAATTTATTAGGGATAATGGTACATGACAAAAGTGCAGCTGCTTTAAAAACATCAACACAGTAATAAATGTAGCTATTGCTCTTTGTTCATGTTAAGGCATTAACTAACATTTACTAATGAGACCTTATCGTAAAGTGTTAACTGTTGTCCTTTTGAAGGTTAAGATTAATAAACAATAAAGTAATGCACAAAAACGTAGGGTAGTTTTTCCTGTTATACATGTTAATGTAACCTTTTTTGCAGCTTGTCAAATTCGCGATAATAACATACACCGTGATTAAAACTTTTTTTTAAAAATCGCAACAAGAAAACATAACACAATCATAGGTATATTATTGTAACTCTTATGTTTAGTACTGTCAACCAATTCAGAATTATCGAGAAATAACTGAATGCAGTGGCTACGTTAGCACAACAGCTAGCATCGCGATTTGCTTTCAGTGTTTATTAAAGCCTCGAATAAAGCTGAATTAACGCGATGTAGCTTGAATGACAGACGGGGGTCAGAAACGACAGTGGAATGAGTGTGTGTTGTGTGTGTGTTGATCCGGGAAGATAAAGTTAGATCTGTTCCTGTAGGTTAAAGGTCATACTTGAAGGGTTAAAGCTCTCAGCACATACACAGAAGGATCTTCTCCTCATCAGCTCCTCACGCGTGGATTACAGCACAAAAGTCATATCTCAAAGACGTATAGTTAATTAAAAGATGCATTTTAAAAGGGAATATTTATTTGGTGATTATTTTGGATCTGTGTGTGTTGTATTTACATGTTCACTACTCAGCATAGCATGGATAGCGTTAGCCTGCTAAATAACTGTGTTAGTTGACCACTATAATCTTCAGTTGTCTTGTTATATGTATGTATTATTCCTAAATAACCCATTTATACGCATACAATCGCCTGTAAGACTTTGTTTTATGATTTGTTGATATTTTTGTTATGCCAGCGGTTGCGATGCTAACGCGTGTTAGCAGGCCGGCTAATAACAGTGCTAACGTTCTGTTGAATTTTTCATCCCAAACAATTGCTGCAAGCACAGTGCTGTTTGCTAACAGAAAAAGGGTTATTCTTACCCTTAATGCGCGGGTTATTATCCAAATCCCGCGGCGTTACGATAAATTATTGTAAAGTGACGGCTCACTGCAGCTAAAGGAGGTCAGAGTTCGCGACCCGCTCAGAGGAGGCCCGCACATCTGCGCATGCGCGAACGTATTCGAGGCCGTCAGCATTGATTTTAGTGAAGGCTGAATTCAAGTTTATTTTGATAGTATGAGGAACTAGACATCATATATATTGTGACCCTTAAGGAAGTCAAAATAAATATTGCCTACTGATAAACTGCATACTAAACGGTCTTAGTTTAGCCTACTGGGTGATTTGAGCTTAGCAAGTAACATTTATAGTAGCCCACAGAGCTATGCTAACGGATGCAGTTTTCAATGTTTGTATCGATTAAGATTAATAATAGTAACACTTGGGGCGAGGGACAGATAGATAGATAGACAGACAGACAGACAGACAGACAGACAGACAGATAGATAGATAGATAGATAGATAGATAGATAGATAGATAGATAGATGGATATATAGATGGATATATAGATGGATAGTTAGTTAGTTTAATATATACAGACCAAACTCAATGTTAGAAATTAAAGTGATCTAAAATTTAGAAATAACTTTTTTTATATATTGCATCATTTTACTTGGAAAATATGTTTTTGGTTATGCATTTTATGTCTTTGTTACATAACACGTTTTTCCCTGTTTATTTCAGTACTGTAAAAGTAATTTTTTAAATAAAATTTTATTCATTTTTAATCACATTTTTTATTGTAAAGTAATGCATTATAAGCTAATTTAGCATAATTTATTTGAATGCTCATATTTTCATTTTTAACAATTATTGAACTTTTATAAATAATTATATATATATATATATATATATATATATATATATATATATATATATATATATATATATATATATATATATATATATAAGGTTTCTAAATAAATTGTCTATAAATAAAAATCAGAGCTTAAATAGCTGTATTTTTATGAATTTTCTCTAAAAATGTCCATGGATGCCTCAGCGCTCCTTTTCAGCCCCCGATTGTGGTGGTAACACAAAATGTTGTATGAAATGAACAATTGTTTTCCTAAAATCATTATTATTCCTTCAAATTCTACATATAATGTAAATTTGCTCTAAAACTATTTTTACACAAAACATTACGTTACAAATCGTTTAATATTATGATGACAATTTAGCATACTTTAACATTTTAGTTTTGTAAAATTATCATGAAAAATTTTCCATCTAATGCTTAAACATTCCAAAATTAATTATAACAAAACTTCTTTCAACATCTATAGCACATTTTTGAGAAAAATTAACGTTTACTTAAACCACTGCTTTTAATGTCCATCCCACTTTTTCCATAAATCACCACTACCCATAAATATATCATATTTATGTAAATTATAATACAATCTGAATTTATTTCAAAACTCCTTTCATAAATGGTAGCATGTAATCTGTGTTAAGAAAAAACATAGATTGTTAAATCCAATGTGTGAATCATTCATAAAATCATATGAATGTAAAAAGCATGCAAAGTTTTCCTTTATCCCACAAGCAACTCGATTTTTAAATAGCAATGGACTATCAAGTCAGCTGATCTGACGTGTGAAAACATCCTGCTAAAACGGGGGTTTCATGGCCCTTTAATGCGTTTTATGTACGTTGTATTGTGTGTTGTATTATGATGTTGTTTATGTGAGGAACACCTGATGATTATATTTCTAATAAGTTTCCCCAATTTAAATTAATGAAGTAACCTTCCCTTAAAAAGCAAGTAATGCTTTTTTTAAAAATACACTCAAGACAAATGTTGCATGTGATATTTTCTTTCAGTAGACCCCAGAACTCCCCTGCTGCCCCCTAGTGGTCCTTCGACCACAGTCCGAGATATGAAGTTTACATAAGACAAAGACGTTACATCTCATTACATTACATTATTTATTAAAAATTATTTGCTCTTTACATTTTTCTTGGGGCATAGCTTACTCCCTTGAAATCCTCAAGATATTACTTCAGGACGTAAAACTTTCTTGAGATCTGCAAAACTGTGGGACATCGTAGTAAACTAGTGCCATGATGACCAAAAATAACAATTATATTTACTTTTCTAAAAAGTGGATCATATGGTTAAAAAACAAAACAGTGGTGTATCTAAAGTTTTCCATAATCAGAACATTCTCACAAAATGTAAACAAACATTCAACACACAAATGTGATTGACATCGAACAGAACCACAAAACAATCCTTTTCTTGGAGCGGTTACACTTCAAATGGTGAAAGAAAGAAAAAGTAAAAAACATCAGTGGCTTGTTGTGCTTGAAATGGAAAAGGACCTTAGTGAAAACTGTAGAGAATATAATCAGGTCATCATACTCGTGTTCCTGAACAAGGTGCATTAGAGTATTTAATGTGTGTTACGTCTTTCCCTGATAAGAGCACTAGATTTTTCCTCTGTATTCACAGCCGGTGTGCTATATTGTTTTATAAAGTAAAAGTTAAAAACAGTGCTGAGTTAGCCAGCCTGGCACTGTGTCTTCACTACTACCCCATGAGGCCATTAAACATCCTGAACTAATTTTTTAAATACGCCTGCATTATATTACCATTTACAAAATATGTACACTTCCAGTTCTGTCCAGTACACAATGTTTAAAACATCAGTTGAAATGCCTACTTTTTACAAAAGAGTTTAAGATTATTAAAAACATTTTTGTAACTGAACTGAAAAAAAAAAAAAAAAAATCAAATAAAAACAAAGAGCTTCTTAGAGGAAACATGAGCAGAATGAATATGTATAAATTGTGCATACAATTATTCATACATTCTTACATACATTGTTTGGAAAGTTCTTCCTCTGCAAAATGTCAGATTTCATGCATAAATTGTTTGCAAAATTGTTATTCGAACACATTTAGCATTTAATATAAATGGTTATTCTGTAAATTGCTTATTTATAAAATTATTCGTATGAAAAATGTTGTGTATAATGCACAAATTGTAAGCAAACGCACATATTTTTCATTAAAAAGCATTCTGGGACCTACCTAATGCCAAAATTGTTCATTAAATTAATATGCTTTTTTATATAATGCTTAAATTAATTAATTGTTCATTAAAAACTGGCATTTAGTCTTACAATTTTATTCTCACATACTTTGCATGAGTCATTATGTAAAATGTATGTGTGAACTGTACTCAAATTTAATACATTGACTTGTCTCTGCCTATAAAGACAAGTATATATCATTACATTCAATATATGTCAAATCGATTAATTTGAAAATTGTTGCATGTAATCCATGAATTGTTGCTTAAATAATACCCATGCTTAAGTTTAGCAAATTGTGGACAAAACTAAATCTAAAGACACAATTTATACGTAGTCACAATTTATACGTAGTTGCCGTAGCCTGCTTATGCTTCCAGAAGAAGCCTGGTAACTTTTAAGCCTTCTTTCCCAGCATTCACAGTGGAATCCAAAAATCTCCCATAATGCACCATGCCAGACTGCGCCACATGACCTGGCACCAGACATTCCTCGTGTCATACTTGCTCATCCACATTCAGACTTGACTATGAATCACACCAGTGGCCAAAAATCCTTTTATAAACTTTCATCAGGCGACCGGCGGCACCAGCAATTAGATTTAATGGCAATTGAAATGCGACTCAAGGATAACCTAATGGTCAGGAGTTAAAGACAAACATCTTGAACTCAAGACTAGGCACTTTTAACTCCTGCACACTTTGTAGGCTGGAATTATTGTAAATGCCAAGCACCGAAAACAAGCTGAGAGGCAGTGTTTCCTAAATGTAACATTAAGAATGAAAAATAATGATGGATTAATACCTCACATCTTTTTTTGTTTGCAGGCAGTCTTGATTAAAACGACCTTCATTAGGGTGCTTAAGGTTAGGATTAATGCCTGAACTACATCTACCAGCATTCTTGGCATTAAACTGGGATTTTCGCATCTTCAAACCTCAAACCGTGCACACAGTGGAGAGACCCGGACATTTATTTATGATTTAATCCAATCAAGACCCGTCAAAGAATCATGGCCTCCTGAAATGCCTCGATCCACCTGAAAAAAGCATGAATGAATATTAAATCAATGTTTTTTTTATTGTAATTATAAAACAAACTTTATAGAGTGCCAAAGTCAGGAAATAAAAGTAAAAATGAGGAGATTTAGTTTTAACAGTAACTAATTATCGTTTGAGCACAGACCTGTCCTGGGTTTTGAGGCTATTAACGGATTCCTCATAACCTAATTATATTGATCTGAACATTAACATGAGTTAATATTATTTTTATTATTATTATGTTTGAGGTTCATAGAACCGGAGGTTTCTGAGACTTTTATTTCAGTATGTTGATGTGCTTCTAACTGAAACTAAATACTGAGTAAGGGGCAGGGACTTCTAGTTGTAACATTTTTAAATTACTTGTACATACACCTCATCTCCCTTGCCATAATATGCAATTCATGTATGTTGTGCGTCACACTCCCTCACCATAGTTACTCTCTTGTGGCTCACCATAGTATGCAACTCACTTCCATCACCATACTATGCAACTCGCATATGTGTACCGTATCGTAACCTATGATGTCAGAAAACCCTCAATACATTGTAACTAGGCCCACACGGAATCTGTGCGCTGATTTTTAGCCCATCACCATTGAGTCCATGGAATTTACTTGTGTAAATGTGTGTACATTTATATTTATTCAGTTTTTAAATTATTTTTTACTAATATTACTGTGATATAATGATAATAATATTAAAACGTTCATATCATTTATTTACAACACAGTTTGTAAAGTCATATACTTTAGACTTTTAGTAGATATATTATATAAGAGACTTGCTTTGTTTACAAAGTGGATCTAGCTGGATTTGCATTGTAAACATAAAAAAAAAGTTACAAAGTTTTTTTTACTTCATATATTTAGTTTTTTAGTTATGATACTCCTAAAATCATTTCACATAAATCCGCAGATCTTTGACAAAATTCACAGCAGAAATAACAAAAAAAGTCCACAGATTCTGTCTGGCCCTAATTGTAACCCTCAGTACATGGTTTCTAAACCAATACCCAGTCATCTTCATCCGCATGGTGATGCTCCATAAAAACAAGTCATTTTGATACCCCTAATCTAAATATTTGCATATCATTCTATAATATTACTGAAATTAATATAAAAATAGAGTAAACATATATTTACCCACATTTACATAAGCAAATCAATAGATTGAATAATGAGCACAAAAATCAGCAAATTTCTGTGGGCACATATTCTGTGTGGGCCTACTTATTTGTTTTTCTGGACCCTTTTTACATTTTCAGATTTCTTAGCAGTGGAAGTCATCATAGTCAGATAATCTTAGTGCACAGCGAATGGAAGAGTACAACAAATAATTGCATTGCTATTTGCTCAAATAATTATCAAAAAGAAAAAAATACAGTAAAACGATAAATTATATAATACAAAGTATTATATTTTTTTAATGTACATTAATTTAAAAAAAATCCAAATTTTAAAAACTTTCAAGAATGTCAGATGCTGATAGTCATTAAACGCAGAATATAGTAAAAAGAGTCCATAAATGTCTTTAAAGATGAAAAAAATTAATGAAAGAAACACTTCAGGAACTAACATTGCTGAAAAAAAAAAAGTGGACATTCAGTATGTTTTTGGTGATCGCTTGTTTGGGTACCTCTGTGCAGTGGGAATATCCTCAGCTCTAAAGATGTAGTAGAGTGTGTTTTTATGGTAGAGTTTAAACTGCAGTTTTTGAGCAGGTCCTGTCTTCTCCTCTCGGAGGAAAAACCCCAGCAGTGGCTGACTCTCCAATGCTGCAACATCCTGAAAACCAAGGCATTTATTACCACATGATGGCTTTCATTACGTCAAAACACATACTCGTATGCATACTCTTTTGACTTTATAAAGCATTTAATGAATACAGAGGAATGACTGACTAAAATAAAGGAGCTATTAATGTCATTCAAGTTTTTAGAATTGCAAAAGTAGTTCTGTTGGTTTCAACATAAAAGATTTTCTGAAAAAAGCAACCTTTTCCCCAATAAACAACACTCTAGATATACTATACTTTTCTTGTTTTATTAAAATGCAATTTAAAATACATTTATCAGTCGAAACACTCCTGTTATCTTTCTATCACTTATACTAACTACTAAAGGTCTAGTCTAGTCACTAAAGCACAGGTCTCAAATCCAGTTCCTGGAGAGCTGCAGCACTGCACAGTTTAGTTCCAACCCTATTTAAACAAACCTGATCAAACAAATCAAGTCATTTAGGCTTGTTTGAAACCTACAGGTAAGTATCAAATCAAATCAAAGCTTATTTCTAAAGCACACTTAATTAAAACCTTGGGTTGACCAAGGTGATGTACAATAGCAGTAGCAGGTAAAAACAGCAATATAAAACAATAGAAACAACAGTAAAAGTTTCCAAGAAAGAAGCAATTTAGTATAGCCTGGAACCATCATTAGGGAATGGTAAATGCACTCAAAAAATTATTTAACATCTATTTAAAAATAGATAAAGTGGGTGATATTCAAATTTTTAATGGTAACTTAATCCATAGTTTCAAACCCACAACTGCAAAGGCTCTATCGCCCCTGTGTTTGAGACCAGATCGAGGTATTTGCAATAGATGGCAGTTGAAATTTGATTTAAGCGATCGGGTTTGGGCCTTAGTAGTGATCAGATCAGAAAGATATGGTGCTTAATAAACAAAGAGTAACATTTTATAGTCTATTCGGAAGTGAACCATAAATCAACCAACGTAGTGATCGCAATATTGGTTTTACTTATTTGCTTGTCAAGTTTTAGACTACTGTCTAGTAGAAACCCAAGGTTTTTAACCTCAGAGGTGTGGTAACAGTTTAATACACTGAGATCGGTAGGTTGTTTGCTAGAATTCTGTGGGGGACCAATAAGAATATCTCGGGTTTTATCTGCATTCAAAAGCATAAAGTTATCAGTGAGCCACAGTTTGATTTCAGGAAGACAATCTTCTAATCTCTCGAGGGTTAAGCTATCATTTTTTGGATCAGTATAAAGCTGTATATCATCTGCATAGCAGTGATACATAATTCCAAACTTTCTCATTATAGTTCCTAAGGGCAGCATATGTAACGAGAATATCTGGGGTGCAAGAATCGATCCCTGAGGAACACCGCAAGAAAGAAAGGTATCTAGGCTCACTGAAAAGCTTCAATTTGATAGAAAGGACTCAAACCAATTCAGAACTGTGCCCGAGATACCAAGTGCTCATCAACAAAAATCAAAAGCAGAGCTTAAGTCGAGCATCACTAAGGCCATTGTATCACCATTATCAGTAGTCTAACTCAAAGTATGTTGGAGTTGGGTTGGAACTAAACTGCAGAGCTGCAGCAGAGTTTGACACGCCTGCCCTAAAACAACCAGTATCTGGTGGTAAGTCTCAAACATTCAAATCGTTTATTCAAGGGATTTGTTCAAAACAGCTGATTCATTTAGTAACTAAAGCAGGTGACTGACTCAAGTGACGAATCACTGAATTGCTGACTCAGACGGTTTGTTTAAAAACAAATTCATAAATGAAACAACTGTCACTCTGAAATGCAGAAATTATCTGCTCCAGCTTTGTTTGAAACTATTTGAATCATCAAAGAACAAAAAACATTATTTTAAATCAAGTAAATATAAGTTAAATATAGATATTTGCGATCAACTCACATTTTTATATTCGTATTAAAAACATACATGGATATTCAAATATAATTGAATTATTACAACTGTTCTCTAATAGGCTTCATGACACAGAAAATGTTTTTGGGGACACTTTTGTTTGCATCTATGTTACATGTGTGAATTAAGCAAATGCCTATATTGACAAGCATTGCATTATAGGTGCACGTTTTATAAGTTTTTGTTTTTGTTGAAAATCGAACCCGGATCCTTAGCTGTGCCATTTCGAACACTGTTCAAACAGCAATTTTGCTATTATTAAAGACCATAAGTATCAAACACAACTTTTTCACTTTAAATAGTTTCAATATACTAATATAATATAATATAATATAATATAATATAATATAATATAATATAATATAATATAATATAACTGGGTGAGGCAGACATGTAGTGCTGTCGCCTCACAGCAAGAAGGTAGCTGGTTCGAACCTCAGCTCAGTTGGTATTTCTGTGTGGAGTTTGGATGTTCTCCCTGCCTTCGCGTAGGTTTCCTCCGGGTGCTCCGGTTTCCCCCACAGTCCAAAGACATGCGGTACAGGTGAATTGGGTAGGCTTAATTGTCTGTAGTGTATGAGTGTGTGTGTGTGTGTGTGTGAATGTGTGTGTAGATGTTTCCCAGATATGGGTTGCGGCTGGAAGGGCATCCGCTGCGTAAAAAACTTGCTGGATAAGTTGGCGGTTCATTCCGCTGTGGCGACCCCGGATTAATAAAGGGACTAAGCCGACAAGAAAATGAATGAATATAATATAATATAATATAATATAATATAATATAATATAATATAATATAATATAATATAATATAATATAATATGATTATTTAATAATATAATAAAGATTACATCAACTCACATTTTCAAATGATTCATGATACTGATATCAAGATACATTTTTTTTTCAAGATTTATTTTTAACAAGATGGGTTGAGAATTTAGAAATAGACAAGTTCCTTTTCATTGTTTTTGAAATGCTGCATATTTCTTCATAAAATGAAAATATATTTTGTCAAATAACACAATTCAATGGCAATTTTAAAACAAATTCCAAATTAAATAAGAGTGCGCATGTGTTTTTTGCGTCAAAAGAAGCAACTTTTGAATGGCTTACAAACGTCCGCCAGCGTTTTGCACGCTGATTATGTGCCATACGCCCCTCATGTTTTAACCGCCTGCTGCGTTTTGCATTTTGCCATTGTGCTCGCAGTTGAAAATAGTCAACTCCGAGTGGAAAAAGAATGTTACGTCAGTCGCGTTTTTTGCTTCTGGCTGCTGGCACTCCTCTAATTTAAATGAAGTTGGAGCTTCCTCAATATCAGCATCCACACTCCTGTTCACATTCTTGTTGTCGATCACTGCATTTGCGCATATAAGCTAGTTTTAAGTAAAAATTACATCCCTGCTGTAACATGCATCATAATTTGCTTAATTGATTTACCACACATTTAAAGAAATTTTCAACCCTAATATAGTCAGCTATTTTTTTTTACCATAGCATGTCAACATTCATATTATGAGCTAACACTGATAAATTATATAAAGCTTGTTTCTTTAACAGTTGATAAGTTGTTGAATAAATTCAGCTTACTTCACTGGCAGCATAAGTGTAGAGGACTTTGTTCTTAATGACAAACCACAGCCTCTTCCATGGTTTCTTGTGGCCTTTAGATCTGTGCAGATATCCACTCATGGAGGAGTTCTCAGTGTTGGCAGACACCTGTGAGAACGATGTCATATTAATAAACTATAAAAATGACATTAGTGTTATTTTGGAAACAGCAGTTTTTATTCTGTTAAACGCAAGAGAAGATCTTTAGAGAATTGCTGTTAGATAGTACCCACTGGAAAAAAGTCATCATGATGGGTACCATCAACCAGCATTCTTCAAAAGAAATTCTTTGTATTCAACTTAGAGTTGAATCAAGTTATTGAGCAAGTGTAATGTTTAGTGACATTTGGGTGAACTATCCCTTTAAGTATTGTTTAACTTTAGATTACCTCCTTGAGAGCTGATGGAATCTTCTTCTGTTTTCTAGAAAAAGCGAATGTTGAGCCCCGCCCACTAGGGGAAAAGGTCACATTGGATTGGTCGCCTAAGAAACAAAAAAAGCATGGTTGAAAAATAAAAAAAACATTTGCTGTCACACAACTTGTTTGCCAGATTGTTGTAAGTAAATAATAATATGCGGTTGCAATAGCATATTGTGCGATTGCCAGGTTTTCACCTGTCAAAAGAGTTTTCAGAGTCCTCTGGGTCACATTCCGATTTAGTGTTTTATCTGGGGTTTGATTATTTACATTTTACATTTATTCAGTTAGCAAATTCTTTTATCCAAAGTGACCTACAAGTGAGTATAAAAGAAGCACTGCAAATCATCCTCAACATCAGCATCCACACACTGCTACTGCGCATTTAAGCCAGATTCCAGTAGCTGAGTAGCTGTATATAAATGCTCAGTCTCAGCTACTAAAGGCATACTTCAAATGAAGTTCTTTTTTGCTTTTCATTTAAGGCCAGAAAGAAGATGGAAACGGCTAAGTGACTGGTTGGTATGGTTTGCGAGTCTGAACTTCATGGATGACGGCCTTCCAGAACACATCCACTTATTGCATAATCTTCATAGATCAATGGCAGCTCAAAGGTGTTTCAGATCAAAATGAACTCCCCAAAAGCTTCGCATTGGTAAGGTGTTTTAAACTGTTGAAGCAAAGTCAAAACAAACTTGTTTTTTAGCTCAATTTTGTTCGAAATGACATCATTTCAGTTATTTTTTCAATTTTCTTTGAAGTATTCTGAAGGCTTAAGTTTTATCTATTTGCTTATATTTCTTATTACAGAGTTACTATGCAGTTGTTTATTTGTTCAGAGTGACTTCAGCTTGTTAACACTCACTCAATTATTTGGGTATCTGATAGAAACAGACTGTCCACACTGTGTAATGCAACTTTTCAGATCCAATTTGTGTCACTTTTGTATACCTATGCTTAAAAAACTGTTGACATTTTTGTCAAATTGGTAAAATAAATAACATTAGATTTCAATAGAATTTCAAGAGTACAACTGTATTCAACATCAGTAGATCAGGAGGCATAATGGTCTACATTAGATCATTTTTCATGCACAATCTAAAATAAATGAAGTAATACAACTTTAATGACCGATAGCTCCTCGCCTTCCTCTACATAAGCAAAGCTGTATACCTTGACTGCATGAACCTTTCAGCTTTCAAGTTTCCCACTCTAAGCCAAATGTCAAATTCCATAACTTTTCCCTGACTAAAATGCTAAATTTCCATAAAGCATCTGACTTATTTTTTATTTTCCAACTTAAATATGTTTAAACTTCTGTTCTCATTCATTTCCATAACTTTTTACCCAAACACAACAGCGTGTTATGCTGCTTGATAATATTATAATTTTAATGTATTTTCATAAACATGCTGGTGTGTTGCACAATTAGTTTGCGTTTTGGTAGTTTCAGTGAGCATTTACTTCCATTTTTTTTAAAGAAACAAATGAATAGGAAGGCTAACACAATAGCAAAAAAGAGCTCACTTCCACATTGCAAAATAAGGTGTATTGTGAACAGAAAAACAGGCAGCAGGCAGACAGACACCAACTAATGTAGTATTTTAACAGGTACAGCTTGATGACTGTATTTGACTTAAGTGTATTTTGACTTCAAACCACACTGAAAAAATAGATTAACTATAACAAAATGCATGCGACTCAAAATAAATAAATAAAAAAAGTTTAGAAAATTGTTATCTTGATAAATGAAAAGTAAAATAAAAAAGTCGCTGATATTTCATGACTGACAAAAAATACAAAATTTTCCCTGACTTTTAAAGTCTGGAATAATCCTTTTAAAATTCCATAAAATTCCAGAAATTCCATGACCCGTGGAAACCCTGGCTTTACTTATTTTTATTAGTTTTAAGTACCAAGGTATTTAAGCAACTTATTTTTTTAAGAATAAAAAAAAAATGGGACCCAACTAATGTTTACAGCATTCAATTGTGATCAATGAAGCTTAGGTATGTTAGGTTTACACGCAAGGAGCAATGAGATTCATTCTTGCATGTCACAGGATACATTCTGCAAAAACCAGTCTCATCTGTTTGTCATGCAGGTATGGTTAAGATTCTGTTTATGTTCTCTGATCAATGATTAGACGTAGAAAAAAAAGGCAATTCTAAACTGTTAACAAAGCAATCCTGACTCTTCCGAGGACTTGGATTAAACTGCTTGTTTCACGACCAATAAATTTTTATATCTATTTATAAACATTTTGAGGTGTCAAAGTTTTAGGTAAACATACTTTCAATGAAGGAAGAGAAGCCTCTCAGTTTTGAGTATTTAATTATCTATTTAATTGATTGTTTGATTCCTGATTTTTCACTGTTTCACAATAAGTCTTTTATGTTTTCACAAAAGCCTGGAATGAGATCCCACAACATCTAAAAACGATACCAACTGAGACTTTTTAAAAAACCACATGTTCATCATCTGATGGTCAACTATCACTGTAGCCACTGAGATAGTAGCCTGCTTTTCTCTATTTTATATGTTTGGTGATTGTTTGTACTGTGTTGATTAAGGGTGTCACGATTTCGATTTTTAATGCTCAACTTCGATTATCGAATCGAAAAAAAGAATCGTCGATTCTGCCACGCCCCCATGTCACTTCAGCTTGGCTTGCCAAGCGGGAAAAAACAGGCTTGTTGAAGTGCTTGTTAAACTGCAGACGCAGGAGACCCGTCGACAGAGCTTAAACCCTCTCCTCTTTCAATGAAGTCGCCGGTGTGGAAGTATTTTGGATTCCCAGTGAGTTATGTTGACAACGTTCGTGTTGTCGACAAAAAACAAAAACAAAACACAGTTTGCAAGCTCTGCTATGTACGTATTACGGTTGGGTTGATAGACGATGGGCGCATCGCAATCCTCCTCACCGCACCCGTTGCACATCCGCTCGCGAAAAATACACACTCAGGCCCTGTTTACACTAATATGACTTTGTTTTTAAATGGCATTTTAGAACGACAACGATCCATATCCACACTGGCGTATAGCATTTATGAGCAGCCCTCCTTCCTCACCACTGCTGAAAACACACATCACGTGACCACACACACTCATTCACACACAGATACAGATGCACACACAGACAGCGGGTCCAGGCAGTCAGCGGATCAGTAGACTGCTTCAATCTTTACTTTTACACTTGTACTTAGTCATCTTAGCGAACACCTTAGATACTGTTGGCTGGTTCCAGTTGGTTGTGCACCTTTTTTACCGACGCCATTATAACAACACAGATCACTGCCTATTCACGAGTCCCGCAGAAAAAAGTGATTGACAGGTGGTAATTATGTGTGTAACTTACCTTTATTCATTTACTGTATGATTTGTTTATGGGTAAAACAAAGACCATGCAAGTCAGGTAGTTTAGACGGTAGGCTACAAATAATTAATTCGTTATTAATTAATTAATTAATTATTCATAATCGAAAATCGAATCGTGACTTTAAAATCGAAAATGTAATCGAATCGAGGATTTGGAGGATCGTGACACCCTTAGAGTTGATGGATGAGATGTCTGTCTGTTTAGCAGAGCAAGAACCTGCTGAAAAACAGCATTCATGCTGAGTCAGGCCCGATTATCTTTTAATCTTTTCATGTTTAAAAAATAATAATTAAATAAATAAGTTTGTATTGTTTTCCTATTGACCTTATTCTTTGCGTACAAGCAGGCGCAGCCATTTGAATCTCTTTGACGTAGACTTCCGGTTTCATTCACTTCCATTGATTTTTAGATGTTACAAACATCTCGCTCTGCTGCTTGATGTTGCACACTGATATTTTCCTATTATATTATTCTGCTTTGTCTGTATAGTCATGCACACACTTGTTGGAAGAGCAAGTAGTTTGACCGTTTTAGCTATTTCTACCTGGCAACTGAATCAAAAGTTCTAAAACAACGCAAAAACGAGCGCACTTCCGCATTGAAGAATAAGGTCAATACTTTGTTCGGAAAAAAAAATCCAATAAATTATGTTTTAGGGGAAAAAAGTATCTTCATTTGTGTTCTGAAGATGAACAAGTAAATAAGGACAATTTTTATTTTGGGGTGAAAGGACCGTTTAAGCATAAGAACTGAACACTAAGCATAACCACATTAAAAATAGAACAATAAACACTATTACTACTATAGATGATGGAGCCATGGAACAGTCCAGAGATAGATAAACAACAGAAATCACATACCCTTGTGCTGTAGTTTAATATAGCAATGGTCACACACTCTTGCCAGTTGATTCTTCAGGTATTCCAGGTAGAATTTATTAGACGAACATGCCTGACACACCACCTGTGGCCAAAGTAAACAAATCTCTTATCATGATGTAAATAATCTCAAGCCCTGATTATGATATGTACATCAACATAGAACAATTTCTGTAAATTCATTTTTATTATTATTAATTATGATTTATCGTTTTACAATATAACAATCAACACAATTAACAAAAAGAAGATTGAGCATTAAATAGCATCAGAGTATACAAATATAAAAACATCTACAGTTGAAATCTGAATTATTAGCCCCCCTTTATTTTTATCCAGAATTTCTGTTTAACAGAAAACGTATTTCTAAACATAATAGTTTTAATAACTCATTTCTAATAACTGATTTATATGTTTCAAGACACTTCTATACAGCTTAAAGTGACATTTAAAGGCTTAACTGGGTTAATTAGGCAGGTTAGGGTAATTAGGCAAGTTATTGTATAATGATGGTTTGTTCTGTAGACTATAGACTATAGCTTAAAGAGGCTAATAATTTTGACCTTAAAATAGTTTTACAAAATTTAAAACTGCTGTTTATTTATATGAAACAATACAAATAAGACTTTCTTCAGTGAAAGAAATATTATCAGCCATACTGTGAAAATTTCCTTGCACTGTTAAACATCATCTGGAAAATATTTAAAAGAGAAAAAAAATTCAAAGAGAGGCTAATAATTCTGACTTCAACTGTACATCGTCAAATTTAGAAAACAGAAATCAAATAACAGCATACGAGTGGTCAGTGTTATAGCAATAGGTTTTATATAAGCACAGGTCAAAGAGTTCATATTAAAGGTCCAAAATATATTCCAGGTTTCTAAAATTATGTGTATTTTGTTTTTTAAACTATATGTTAAATATTCCAAATGCAGTGTATCATTTATAATATTTTTAAATAATTCAAATGTTGGAGGGTGTTCCTGTTTTCAGTTTAACAGAAAACATTTCACAAGTCCACCCCAAAAAGATATATTAAAGGAGTCTTGTGATATTTCTTAACAGAAAACTTACAGTTGAAGTCAGAATTATTCAACCCCCTGAATTATTAGCACCCCTGTTTATTTTTATCCCCAATTTCTGTTTAACGGAAAGAAGATTTTTTTCAACACATTTCTAAACATGGTTTAATAACTCATTTCTAATAACTGATTTATTTTATCTTTGCCAAGATGACAGTAAATAATATTTGACTAGATATTTTTCAAGACACTTCTATATAGCTTAAAGTGATATTTAAAGGCTTAATAAGATTATCTAGGCAGGTTAGGGTAATAGGCAAGTTATTGTGTAACGATGGTTTGTTCTGTAGACTATTGACCAAAAAAAATTGAAAAGAGGGCTAATAATTCTGACTTCAACTGTATGGACAGTATACCAAAACTCATTTAGTTTTTCACAGTTCCAAAATATATGCATAATGGTGCCATTATGCAAAATATTGCTAAATAAAATGCCAAACTTAAACATTTTTTCGTGATGCTGTTATTCATGTTTCTGTCTGCATCCCCATAATGACGTGTAATTTTGCCCTCATATGTAAATTTAAAAAAATGACCATAGACATTGCATTTTATGACATTACAATATAAACAATAGAATGTAATATGAAACGATAGACTTTTTATTTTGTCTATACAATACATAGTCATATTGCACAGCGTTATTCATAAAAAAGAAGCAGAAGCAAAGCTAATAACATCTCTTATTTCCAACCTTTCCACAGGCACGGCAGTGATGGCGTCTCCAGGTCAGAGTGAACTCGCACGTGCAGATCATACACATAGTCGTTCGTAAATCTGGAATCCAGATAGGAGCCTTAGAGCCCAGTGGTAAACCATCGTCAGAGATTCCTTCCAGCTGCATGGGAAGAAAAAAAAGAATCAACATAAAACATAAGATGAACAGTTTAATTTATGTCAAGTTTCTTTGAGTGCCTTCACAAAGTGTCTGAAATATTGTATTATAATGATTGGTTGCTTTTTTTATTGCAGCTAGGTTGTTTATTATGCATTTAATGAATTTTAAATGGCACGGTCGCCTCACAGCAAGAAGATTGCTAGTTTTAAAGAATTTATAGTTTGTCAAGATGACTCTAATAGCAGCAAAAAAGTTTATGGCCTTCAAACGGAAATAAGAAGAATCCCTACCTCATATTGTATGGCTTAGTAAACTTTCTTCCTATGTTCATGTTAAAAAGTAATGTTCATTCTGAAAAAATATATATAATTTAGATATTACATTGACTGAATCTACTGAGATGGCAGGATAATGTTTATTGTATAAATTTTGATTATAGTTATTCATTTATAGATTTGTTTATTATTATATCTTATTGTTTATTATTATATCTTATTTTTTTATTTATTTTTTGTTCTTGCCATTTGTTTTTTCCTTCTGATACTGAATGTATGGCTCAATGTGTCGCAATAATGTCCATTAAAGTGGTCTGTCCAGAAAGGGGAGTGCAATGATTTGATTCTGTAAATTGCAGGTGTAAAAATAATAAATAATTAATAGGCCAAAGAAAAGTGAGGTAATATTTAAATTTAAACAGTACAAAAGGCAAAAAAATAATTATTTGTGGGTTTTTTTTTTTTTTGAGTTTTTCCTAGATTTATTTATTTTATTTTACAAAAATGTTGACATTGGATGGTATAATTATTTTGTTGTTAAATACTTTTGTTGTTAAAATCAAGATCTGAGTATCCCCCCTCCCCCCTTTAAATTAAGTAAACTTCAACATTAGCCTAATTGGAAACAGTTAAGCATGTTATTTGTGAATATTTTTATGTTTCTAAGGGTAAGGTTAACTTAATACTTTAATTGTTTGAAAAAAAAAACTATTAATTCCAATATAATTTTTTTTTTTTGTGTTGTATTATTTCACTGAATTTTAAAGCATTAAACTGGCTATTATAAAGTAATGACTTCCAAAAATATGTGATTAATATTAATTGATAAATTAATATTATAAATTAAAATAATAAATGAAAGCCTTTGTATCCACCTTTTAGCAGATACAGATATTGACAGACTAACAAGACTTGTATCTTATGCCATTTTGCATCTCAGATAAACACGATAAAACTGTTTATTATTACTTATAACAGTTCATAGTATTCTGAATGTTTTTAACTAGTTAAATTCAAGTACTTGATGTAAATAAAACAAAAGAAAATTGTCGTTTAAAAAAATGGCTGTGGAAATCAATTAAAGAAAGCAAATATTGCCAGTTGACGGAATGGCATACGCACAAGAACAATAACCCTACACACAAACACAAGAACGCATCTTAAATTTCACACACCTCTTGGCTTCGACTGGAGAAGAACGAAATCTTCTTTCTGGTGTAATCATCTATTGCTGTAGCAATGGCTTCCAACCATTCATCTCTTTCAGTCGCTGAACTGCAAACATCACGTTTAGTCAGTCATTTCAACTCGATTCAAAATGATTTCCAGTTTTGACATAGCTGAAAATCACATGCTTGTGTGTGTTTCTTACTTGGCAGACAGTATGAAGGATCTTTCAACACTCTCAATGTTTAACTCATTCTGATACGCCTCCTGACTGGGTTTGCTCACCTGTTGAAGACATGGAACATAAACACTTATATATAAAATGTCATATGAATGCGTGTTTGAGAGAGTGGACATATTATGGATAATTGATATCTGACCTTCATGCCAGCCAGAGAGAGCATACTGTTGACTTTATACTGTCCAGACTGCACTGGTGTTGTGTACAGCAGGATGTCATTAAACTGTTGAGAGAATGAACATTGACTGGGTATCAAAAAACAAGTGCTAGCTTATTCAGTTTCCTGTGATATGCAGCAATTTCCTGTACTATAAATAACTTATGTTATAAATACATATGTGTCAATTTAAAAAAAGGTTCACACAGGTCCATGAAGGACAAAAATGTCTCTGTCAAAACAAAAACAATAAAAGTATCATATTTTAACTTTAACACGTTCATAGATTTCTTCGGAAGCAGTAGTCCTGATGACTAGGACCAAAAATTCATAATTTTTTGTCAAAAACTTAAGATGTTTACATTATTATTACCAAAATTCTAACAAAAAGTAACAAATATGCTGTCTTTTTAGCTTTAACACCCCAAATCAAATTTTCAAATACTAATTGTGTGGGTATATCAATGCTGGCTAAAACAAAAACACACACACAAACAAAAAAAATGTATATATATGTGAATGAATAAAAAAAAAATCAAACAACAGTCTTAACATTTAGAATTGAAAAAAAAGAAAAAAACATGCATACCCACCAAAACTACCGAATAAATAATATTAAAATATGATCAAAATAAGTAGCTTTATGTAAATGATACAAAAACAACCCTGTTCATTTTATTAAGCAATAATATATTTATGTTTCTTACCAGGAAGAACATTCTGGGCTGCATAACTTTCCTAGAAAGTTTCATTAAAGTGCCCTCTTTCAAGAAAACCTGCATATGTAACAAAAACAATACATTAGATAAGCAAAACAAGACACTTCAGAGACTGTTCAGATACACAATGAATCATGGGTAACTGAGTTTCTCACTCTGCCAGGCTGGACAATTTCATGGTGACCATTCAGACTGTACTGAACCTGCATCAGCTTCTGAAAGTTGTCCTGCATTAAAGAGATGCACGTTAGAAGATCATTGTCATCAGAGTTTAATAAGTGTATGTGGTGTTGTGTTTGTAGTTTTACCCCTTGCTTCATGATGTCATTTGCATGGTTTGCCACTTCTTTTACCACACTAAGAGCCGCTGAATAAATCAAACAAACAATTGATGTCAACAGAACATCGGGACAGTTTTTTTTTTTTGTATTCATTAAACAAGTGTTAGATTTTATTTAATTTTGGTTTTATTTTGCAGCAAATCTCTGAGATAACGTGAGATGCTTGAGAGCTTTTTATATTAACAAATCAATTGTAGCATTCTGACTTTTCTGAATATTTTGGTAAAACAAAATAAAATAAAATAAAATCCCCATAATTTGGCATTTTTAAGTAAAATCAAAGGGATTTAATACACACAAAACTCATTTTAAATGAAAGTACTTTCATGTTTCAAATAACCGTAAAAATAAAAAAGTCAAAATATGATTAAATTATGTTTTAACATCATTTAGTGCAACATAATCATGCAAAAAGTTACAATGTCTAAACAGTAAAAATACACATTTTATTCATTTTTTAAAAGATTCATAATTTCTTGCAGAAAAATGAGGAAAAACTAGCTGAAATGATCACTGTAACAATAAATTTGTATTTTGGTCTTGCACTGTGATCCTTAAAGGGCACCTATTTTAACCCTTTTTCAAGATTTAATATAAATGTTTGGTGTCTCCAGAATGTGTCTGTAAAGTATCAGCTTAATATACCCATCAGAGTATTTATTATACCTCTTTAAAACTGGGAAATTTGAGCTGTTATGGCATTGTAACTGTTTTTGTTGCCTGTGCCTTTAAAGCTGATTCTCCCCGCCCACTGTTCCCATGTGCGCGCAAGCTTCACGTAAACAGCACAGTGACAGACAAGAATAAAGCAGATCTCCCTTACTACAGTAAGAACTTTATCAAAAGTAATTTGTTATATTTGTTGATGAGTTAATTCAAGCCTTTCTGCAATGATGAGTCACACACAATTTCGTTATTAAGTTCGCTCGCAAGTACGTATTTTACTGTATTTATTACAAACACGCACTGTTTTAAAAATGTTTAAAACTATTAAAACTCATTGTTGATCACATTTGATGCTGATTGATGATCACAACAAGCTGAAAAGATCTTTTAATCCCTGTTGCTTTGCGCACGTCCTGTCTTGTTAATATGATTATACGCGTTACTACAGAGACATGTTTATACGTGACTGCCAATCAAATCGGTAGGCAGGGAAACCACATTCCTATGCAATACATGCTTATTGTGTTTCGATCACCCCAATATGACTGTGGACACATTATACCTACACACAGTTCTGTTCAAATAGCTTACAAAACATGTTTTAATCATAGGTGCCCTTTAAGTAAAGTTTTTTTTTTAATCTCACCAAATGGTTCTTGATCTAAACATACTTAAACTATGTTTTAGTAAATAATTAACAGTCAGACTGATAAACATTCACTCTGAATTTGTGTTACTCTGTATAAAACCAGGCCATTTTATTAGATTTTTTTCACTGGTCTCTGGTTATTTTATTAATGATGTGCTCTTACTTTGTGTGTCTTTGTAGTCGGAAGAATCCTCAGGAAGATTTTTTAAATAATCTAAAAAAAGAGACAAAAAAAGGTCAAAGATATTAGTTTTATTAAAATGACATTCATTATGCTATTTTAAAGGTTTCTATTTTGCTTAGGAGGTCTTCTATTACATTATAACATAGAATTATATGTTATAATGTAATAGAATTATATGAACATTATATATTATGTGTTTTTATTTTCTCATGATATATAATGCAGGTTTGCTTCATTTCTCTAAGGGTGACTTCACACTAGCTCTTTTGGTGTGCACCCAAGCCAATATGACATCAGAGTTCTATTTAAAAAGCATTTTGCTTCATTGCAACTCCTCACCTTTCCAACATTTGGTTAACACATCTTATGGTTTCCTCTCTCTAGATTCTATCCAGGGCTCTACAGATAAATTCTAGAAATGTAAACCCTAAATTTATTTTACTCTTTCACCTCATTAGTTCCTGATTGAGTTAATCAGGGCTAAATTAGTCCTTATGTTGCACTGTACTGCTTGGTTGTGCGAGTACTCTTCCTGAACTGTATTTGCTCTCTATTTCTTATTATAATTTATTGTTTCTTACTAAAGAGACAGTTTACCCAAAATGTAATTTCTGCCATCCTTTATTTATCCTTTACGAGTTTCTTTCTTGTGTTAAACACAAAAGAAGATATTTTGAAATAGGTTGCAAACCTGTAAACATTGACTTCCATATTAGTTGTTTTTTTCTAATATAGAAGTCAATGGCTACAGGTTTTGATGGATGGATAGATGGGTTTGAATCTTGCAATCAACCTAAATATGAAAGCAACCTCAAATGGTATACATTCAAAGATCTAGGGCTCTATTTTGATGATCCATGCACAAAGTGCAAAGCACAGGGCGCAAACGCATTCAGGGCTTTTCAGAATCCACTTTTGCTAATATAAGGACGAAAAAATCTGCTTTGCGCCGTGGCGCATGGTCTAAAAGGGTTGAGCTTATTTTCTTATTGAGTTATAAGTGTGTTTTGAGAATAATCCAATCAGAGTCTCGTCTCCCATTCGTCTTAAAAGTTAGTTGCGTCACGCCATGGCACATTTGCTTTTTACATGTCGTAAAGTAAGTGTAAGTGGAAAAACTGAGCTTTTTACCAGCAAGAAAACAGTTAAACAGAGCATCTACAGCGTGAGAATGAGTGATAAGCCTCCTCAATATCTACTTTCACTTTCGCTCTCGTGGATAGGGAAACCTTGTACGCACAGACATCAATTAGCCTATAAATAATTAATTTCAGTTGTTTTAACGCAAAGATTTGTTTCAAAACTATTTCTAAATTCAGTTCTAATTTCCATAAAAAAAAAATGAACAATAATAACAAAGTGTGGTCAAAAACCTGAGTTATATCCTAATACACATGCTGTGCCCCATATGGTCTAACATCTGACAGGTGGGCAAATCTAAGCTTGTTTTATTAAAACAAACATAAATATGGATATAATAAATAATCCTGCTAATAATAATAACATTATACAAAAGCAAATCGTCATGAATAAACTGAAAAAGCCCCCTGAAATGAAGAAGGCATGAAAGTATGGTTTTTATATTTATGTAGGCTAGAAAATAATATGTTTTGTAATATTTTAATCCTTTATATTTATATCCTATATATATCCTTATTATATCCTATTAATCCTATCCTCATCCTAATCCTATATCCTTTTAATTATTTTTCATTTGTAAAGATATTTGCGTATTGCTCTACATCTTGTGTGTAGTAAGCAGTGTGTAAGCAACGCGCACAACTAACGCGCTCTGCACTGGACAATAGACCGGCTTTGTTCTGGTCTATTGAAAAATCTATTATAGTTTTTCAAAATAGCATTGCACCAGCAATGTGCCTTAACACGCCTTCCTCTTTAGACCAGAACACCAATGAGCGCACATGTAAGTGCAAATACATTTGCTATTTAAACAGTGTGGCGCAAAACGTCAAAACGACTCTTGTGTCAAGCTGAAACTTGCAATCAACAATTGTGTCCGGTGTGTACCGGGTGTATGATAGGGCCCCTAGTGTCACATTTATAAACTTCCCATACAAAAGTTAAACTTAGTAACTCACTAAATAAGTGAATTTAGTGTTCAAAACCTAATGCAGAGCAGCCACAAATCTGTGCAGCAGATGGAACAACTGTATATGGCTGATTGAATTTTAATGATATCCACCTGTGCTGCTGTTGTTGCTACAGTAGCACAGTGTTTACTCATCTGTTTACCTGTGAGCAGAAGCTGGTATTGAGGGATCCGCTGCACCGGTTTCAGCAGGTAATGCTTCAAAGCAAGACTAGCACAGCGAGGACTTGTCTGAGGAAGAATGAGTCAAATATCAGAGGGTCATAAAACCTTAAAATGATGTTTACATATATAGAGTTTCAGCGTTAAGGCTGATTTATACTTCTGCGTTAAACGCATCTGACGCATAGCCCTTCGCCGTGGCCATCGCCGTCACTGACGTGCACCTCTCAAAAAATGTAACTACACGTCGCAACGGCGCGTAGCGTAAGCTCTGTGATTGGTCGGCTTGGTAGCGCTGACGAGTCTGGGCGGGACCGAGAGCCGCGCGAATGGCGCGAGCGATTGTTTACAAGTGTGGAGTACCGTGAAGGAGCTCCGGATAGAAAGTTTTGTTTTGTGTTTACCTCATAGTTAAAGTTGTTGCACGTCCGCCGGTACCTGCCTCAAAATGAGCGAGTTTGAGCCACTTGTACATCCCGGAAGTGTTCAGGAAAAGCAAAAAAGCAGAGAAGAAACTCGACACAGAGGAACATTAACACCTCACTGCCCACTAGCGTTTCGGAAGTGTTAATGCAGACCGACAGAGACAGTGCGCAGAAGTATAAATGCACAGCCACGCGCGTTTCCTGCACCGTGGGTTACGCCGGTCACTTGACGCAGAAGTATAAATCAGCTTTACTGCACATTTATTTGCAAAAACCTAACTGATTCGATACATTCGTCGAGTCTTCCTTTGTTAAGTGTCATTTTATTCAGAGACATGGGTGGTTTTTTTGTGCCATCAAAAAAGTGTTGAGTTGCACAAAAGTAAGTACTTAATTAAACAAATATTAGTAACAGTAATACATAGTGATAAAAGTATGCAGTTTAATCCATACAAAAGAAATACAAAGTATTTAAAGTAATAAAAATTAAATAAAATATAATAAATTATAATATTAATACAGTTAATGATAAATGTTAAATTCATACAAAACAAATATAAATATCTGAATAAAATAATAACAATAAATACAAATTTAATTAAGAGTGTAGTGAATTCTCAATTATATAAATTGCTGAATTTTCATTTATTTAGACAAGTTTTGTATAATTTATTTTAAGCTTTAAACATATTTATATATGATTTTATAATTGTTATAACGCTAGATTTGTCTGCTATCTAATCTATACAATCTAGCAATTTAATTTGTGTTTTTTTACGCTAATATATTTTTAAAATGTGCGACTATTTATTTGTTACTGTATTAAATGGATTACTGTTATTAACTTTGAATTTTACATTTTAAAACAACTTTAAGTACTTCATTCATATTCAATTCATATTCATATTTAAATTTTAACTACTTCATTCATACTTTAAATCATATTTTTATCACTTTACTCTAATCATTTCCACAATCAATGTACACATCTGGTGTCGGCAAAGGCAGTGAAACAGTTCATACACACCAACCTCAAACTGACGCACAACACTGGAAAAAGGGGGATTTTTGCGACACTGTTCATCCAGCAGAGCCACATTACGGTCAAACTCTCGTATGTACGTGGAGTACATTTTCAGATATGGACCCTTCTGAACGAAAATATCAGCCAACCTCTGGTGATCAGACCTGCAGAAGATGGCAGGCAGTAGTTTACAGTTCTTAAATATTTTTTTTTCCTGACAAGATTAAAAAAATCCCACAAAGGACTATTTGCCATATTTCTTTGCTGTTAGTCACAAAACATCTTTTATTTATAACTTGCTCTTTGGTTCTTTTTGGCATAGATTCAACTATTGGACATGTCTCTTCAACAGCAGACCTTGGCTGTAATGGCTAGTTATTTAGGTAACCATTGTCTCCTCATTGCCTCCTCAGGTCTTTGGATAATTCTGCATTCCGATGTTAATGTCCAAACATGTATTTATATAAGTTCAGTGTTGTTGTTGTTGTAGATGAAATATAACACATCGTGATTTAAGTATTTTCCAATTGGCTAGATATTAATTCAAAATAATTCATACAAACATCTTTACCGAAGCCTCTCTACTTGATGATTGGTCTTGGCATCCATAATTTTTGTTGTTTATTTACACTTTTCTTCCGCGTTTGTAGTTCTAATCGAATTCACGTCCAACGGCCAAGTATATTTAGTGACATTTTTTTACTGTTATTATTGTCCTTTTACATTTTTTTTATCCGCCCAATAACAAACAAACATCCACGAGCGATTAAGTACTGGATAATTTTCTCTCCTCTACTCATTTCATACTGCTCATTCTGTGTGTGCAAGAACAGTCAACACTCACATGCTCTGCATACCTACAGAGACCTGCACCTTTTTGCATCTCGCCAGCGCTTCCAAACCTACTAAAATGTCCGGGATTTGGTTTTGCTTTCATTTTCTAAGCTATTGTATTTTTTTTTTGCGCACAGCCGCGAGAGCGAGAGAGACATTAAATAATTATTTCTTTAATCTAAACGACTCCAAAAAACTTTACCAAATACTAGGAGAGGACGAAATTAAATCTAAATTGACTGAAACAGGTCTAGAAACAGGTCATTAACTTATTTGTCTTATTTAAAATAAGTTTTATTCCTGTAATTATTATAATTTATCAAACATATTGTCTGTTTTTATTCCTTTTTCTGTGGTTTAATTCCTATTTGCTGTATATTGTATTAATTTGATGATGTCAATATATTACATATTTTATTTAACATCTAAAATGCTTGGCCAATACTATACAAAATGTTATGCCAATAAAGCAACCTAAATTTGAATGAGTGATACAGAGAAGCAGATTTGACCTGTCAGTAGGTGCATGGCTCCTGAATAGCATAAAAGAGAAATAGTGAATTTTTATTTTTATTTTAACATATCTAAAAGAAAACATTTTAACCTGATAATCCCAAAAATAGTGTTAAAAATCAAATTATGTTTTGTTTGTCTTATATAGTTAACAATTTATGCAATGTGGGTAAAAGGTGAGTTTCAATCCAGCTACCACCGCAAGTATATTTCAAACCTGTGGTAAGCACTGAACACGCAATGTACTGTGGGCAATATCAGCGGTTAAAGTATGGAAGGTTCTACACTTAAAATTTTAACCATCTGGAAACCTTTGGCATACTCTTTTCAACAAACTACGATTCTGGACATACTAATTCTATTTTCAAATACTATTTAGGATGAATAGTATGCTAATTGGGACACTGCAAGTGTCTGCGCTTCTTCAATGCAAAATTTAAGTAAAATGCATCTGCAACATATTTCCTTCCATATTTGTGTGTGTGTGTGTGTGTGTGTGTGTGTGTGTGTGTGTGTGTGTGTGTGTTTTACCAGTGTGCCACTCTCTCCTCCAGCTCTTTCAGCAGGTCTTTGTTGAGTTCGTATAGCTGAGGCAGATAGTACAAGATCTGGTTCAACACTTTCTCCTCCACCAATGGTTTCCCGCTCGCACGAGTCGCCTTCGCAACTGCATCCCGGAAATCCTGACAGAAATAGAGATGTTAGCTAGTAACTAAATACAGGATGCAGCAACAAAACAAACACCACTAGACAAGATGAGTTATAGTGACAAACACATGCTTGCATCCACAAACTCCAACGATGACTTCATTTACAAGCATTTAAACAAAAGTTGTTCTCAATATTTTTGTGCTAAATCTTTTACAGTATAGGTAACGCCATCATCTATGAACAGTAGTCAACAAATGCAACCAAAGCAAAAATAAACATACTGAAGAGCATGAATAAGTCCATCTATAGCACAGGCCATATACAGCTACAACAGGAAGCAGAGAGAACATTTCTCTCATTACTCATACATGCACATACACAAACAAACACACTAGGGCTGCACAATATACAGTTTCAACATCAGTATTGCAATGTGATTGTGTAAGATTTCAAGCTAATTTAAACCATTTGGACACACAGAACAAAATAAAAGTGTGGAGATTCAACAAATAATAATTTAATTTAATTATTTCTACAATAAAAACTATAGTCCTAAGACTTTTTTTCCTAAGAGGTTTTAGGCTTTTGAGGAAAGGTAATGATGTAGGGCTGCATGAAAAAATGGACATTGTGATATTTTATAGTTCTGCTATATATATTGCGATATTGATATGATTTCACAATATGACTTAAGTAAATGTTTGGGAAGAATTTACAATTTTAAATTGATTTACATGATTTTGTAGGAGAGAATATGTCTGCATAAAATATCCTATATAAATATATAAGTATACAACTCGATTTATACAACAGTTCTGTCTGGTTCTCAAATCTGATTAGCTGATAGCCATGTGATATTCTGCAATATCAGAACTCCTACAGCCTCTTTACCCTTTGTGTATTACTCCGCCCACATACAACCAGTAAGAAGCAGACACTAGAGATCTAAAGTTTAAAAGATGCACACTCAAAAATAATATCACAACTCTGTATTTAATCAAAGAAACATGATGGAACCTTGGGTAATTAATCAATACGAAGTGCAGTTAAAGTTTTTTTTTTTTAGAAAACAAGTTTATGTTCAATATGACCCCCTCCAGACACTCAAGTGACATTAACCCAGCACTCTCTGTAGGATCCAGTACATAACAGTTTGAATAGCTGCAGTTATTCCTTCTTTTAGTTTCTTAATGTTAGCTGGTAAAGGTGGTTGAAACCATATCTTTAACATACTCCTATAGAAAAAAAATAAATAAATCAGGGGGGGTAATGAGCTGCCTGGAAGATCCATTGCTTTAGGTACGCTTTCATTTAAATAGGCACGGACAGATAAGTGCCAATGGGGTGGTCCCATTTGACGTGCTTCTTCTGTCTTTATCGAGCTGAGGGAACAGCCAATTCTTTCCAGATAGGTTTGCGCAGATACAGTTGCCCCTTCGAGTAAACAACCAAATGACACTTCAGAGCTTCCTTCAATCGACATCAGAAAGAGTTTTGCTCATCTTTTCTTCTGTGCAGAGTTCTCGATTGAAGTAGTGGTATTCTTTTTGAATCACCCTGTATATATGTATAATTATAATTGATATATAAATTATATATAATTTAAGCACAGATAAAAAATAAATAAACAGTGCTTTATAGTTTTTGGTGGAATATTACAAAATCGAGGTACAAAAATTCAATTATCAAATCTAAAATAACGCTGTACAGTTTTTTTGATAAATATTTAAGCACAATTAATCTTTGTTAAAGTGGCAAATACTGACTACTGTATATAGTGTTATTTACATTTGGTTATTGAATTTCTCTACCTCAATACAGTTAAGCTCTCCAGAAAACCATAAAGCACTGCTTATTTCTTTAGTATATTTGGTTTATTGTATTAATTTATGCTTCTAATTTGTTTAATACTGTATATTATAAGCAGAAGCACCCCGTCAATGTAAAGTCATCAATTCTTCCTAAATATAGTTAATTAAATCATCTTCAGAAATTATATTAAAAGTGTAATATATATCGCAGAAAAACAAAATATCGCAATGTCAGTTTTTTTCCTACATAGTGCAGCATTCTTGGCGCACACACTCTCACAAACTCACACACGCACACACACATGCATGTGTTTAGGACAGCTGTTCGGGGTCACGGCCAAACAAGTGGGTTACAGGGAGGGTGGGTGTAATTTCTTTCCGAAAACTCTCTCTGTGTGTTGATCTCTTATTCCTTTACCCCAGCCTCTGTGGAAAAGCTCTTCCTCTCGTCTTTCCTCTGCTGTCTCCTGTCTGATTACAGTCTCTCCTTTTCTGAATATCCCTCTAGTCCTTTCTATTAGTCACTATATATATTTGTGGCAATTACTTGTATTCTTTTTATGGCAATTATGTTTAAGCTCTAAAGGCTGGGTTATAAAGCAATTAATGATAATATCTATTCTAAAGATTTCCCTTAAAAAAATTCTAAAACATGTTTAATATTAGGGGTGTAACGAATCATGGGTGATTCATTAAAACTCGCAGTTCAGAACACACGTAACCAGCGGATTAATACATTTTTTTTTTACTTGTAGATTAAATAAATTTGTAACTAATCACAGAGAGATCACTCCTCGCATCAATCAAATCACATGTATAAAAGCATTTAGGCTTTCATGTAAATACATAATGATGATGGAAGAAGTTGTGGTGGGTTATTCGGGATGTGGTGGGTTTCTTAGGTTATTAAAGGTGTTTTCTGTCACTACTTGTTTAGCCTGCATTAATGCATTCATTTAAAGCTACATGATTAATCATTAAAAGATTGGGATCTCAACAACCACACAACATACATTATAAATGATAGTGATCTGCATATGTTTAATATTCGTTCGAATCACTTTTGAAAATGCAAAAATAGAATTAGTCTTAAGTTTACAAACAACAAATAACACAGAAGTACTGGGATAACAGTTTAGATATAACCAGTGATGTTTACGGTAAAGATTAAAATCACCATCATATGCATTTAACTTGGCTATAATAAATATTTGTAGGCAGCAATTATATTATTTAACCAACAAAAATATTCCACTGAATAATTATTTAAAAAATATCCATCTAGCAACGAAACATGAAGTTTTATGATTGAATAACTAAATCGTTAATTGAAAAAGTGACAAAAAAAATAAATAGGAGTTGTACAAATTATAATGTTAGATATCTACATTTAGCGTTATCAGCAACAGTAATAGTTACATTGAATTTTTCATTGTACTGAATATTTTACAAGTTATTTTTATTAAGCTGATTATTTCATCATTTTATTTTTAACAAAATTACAGCTTTGTCGTCTCCTCTTTTTGGCTGTTCCGAAAAATTATCCAATCTGTGACTAAAAAAAACATAATGTGATCGAACCATGAAAATTGTGATCAGTTTGTGACCACTATTTAGTATAATGTCCGAACAACACATGACTCAATGCTGTGACGTGATAAAAGGCATCTTTTCCATGTTAAAGAAACTGTTAACTGAAAGGCATTTTTTATCTTAGTGTTAGTATATTAGTCCTAAAGATATCGATAAGCTAGTGTGGTCTAAAACAGAGGCAAAATTTGCATTAAGAAGATCCAAAGATTGCGCCTAAATGACAATTTTTTGACACCTCCTCTTCAGATCTTCATCGAAGCTTTTGACCAATTTAATACTCTCTAGCATTCGGCATGACCCTCCCTCTTCGAGACAATTCTCATTTGCTTTTAAATTGATGAACTTGAGCCCAACCTCTCACTGGCAGAGCTGTGGTAAAAACACTATTGACTGTTTTTTTAAAAGGGGGGGAGCTACCTTATGTTCTGCTCTGTCTTCGTGTTTCAGTTGAGATTATATCAAACACTGAATAAAAAAATTGCACATTTCAAAGCACTTCATGCTACTTTTAAAGGAAGTTTCTGTCCTAACCATCTAATACACTTAAAACTGTACAAATTCATTGCATTTAGTGCAGTAATTCATCTTAAATTGTACATATCCACTGCACATATACATTAGTAATTATGCTCATATCTATCGGCATACTTCTAATTAATAATAGCAACCTGTACATATAATAATCTATTGTAAATCTCTGTTCATAGTTAATACAAACTGCATATAATGTCTATAGTGCATCCATCTGTAAATATCACACATAGTTTTTCTATAATTGCATTTTATAACTTATACCAATATCCTGCACTTGCTGCTATTGCACTTCTGTTTAGACACAAACTGCATTTCATTACCTTGTACTTGTACATGTGCAATGATAATAAAGTTGAATTTAACCTAATCTACTATGACAATGATTATTTTAGGTTACATTTATTGCCAGCAGATCAGATCGTTATTAATATAGAGAATAATAAAGCATACCTTTAGTTTAAATATGAACACCAGAACTGTGAACTAAGTGCAAACCAACAATACGAGGCACTCAGTATGTACTTAGAATAATGAAAATGAGATTTATTATTTATTAATTAGATTGTAAACATGTCATTCAGAATGTCTGTGGTATTTACATGCTTCTATCATGTTGCGTCTGGTGTGGATATCAGCTGAAACTAAGGTGTTATTGGTTATTAGTAAATTGCAGGTCAAAAATTCCATATTGGTGCACCCCTTAAGACATTTTTGCTATTATTAGCCTATTAACCTTTTAAAAGCCTTGCCTCATTGATGTCTATTGCATGTTTTTAGTTTCTTACCAAAAAAAAATAAAGAAAGAAACTGTTTTATGCTATTAACATAACGCAAATATCAAACAAATATAATAATACAAATATCTGAACTTGTAGTATAAAACAAATATCTGATCTTATACTGACTCAAGAACATTTCAAAGTCAATGGCTTGTTTTAAATGTATGCAAGTGTTGCACATGTTTAGTCATGATAACACACTTCCATACAGCATGCAGCTACTCATTAAAATCCAAAAATAAACCAACAGATGTGTCTGTTTCCCTCTATGATCCTGCTGCAACCATGAGAATCAAAATATATTCCAGAATGCATTCATGTGAAATGCATAAAAACACACAAACAATATGACTGGAGATACACTTCCACTCTAAACATTAACATTGCTCTGATGCAAACGTAGAGCCAGTGAAAACAGTGATGACTTACGATGTGAAGTAACTTCAGGACATCCACAAATCTGGAAAGATGCACAAACAAACAATTAAAACATAAATTCATCCAAATATTGCCCCTTAACCCCTCGGCTTTCCCCAGCATTTTGGTGTCCACATCGTCCCTTGCTTAAAAAGACCTGAATGACCTGAAAGTTTGAATAATGTAGTTTTTGGTCCAGATATTTTTCAGTGTAATTTAATCTGCATTTTATTAATATTAATGTAGGTATGTTTAAATTATTTTAAAAGTATATCTATACACATTTAGACATTTAAATTTCTATATATTGTTTAACTAAACAAGACATTTGTTCATGTAAACGAGCTGAAAAAGGGCACAAACAAGTACCGAACTTGACAATTTTGTTGATTTTCATTTAAATATTTAAAGACATTCAGATATTTAGATTTAAATAAAAATAAATAAATTAGGCAAATGAATAATTAATAAAAGCTAATTTTATTTCATAATTATTTGTTTAAAAATGTATATTATGTGCTATGTATTTGAATAGAAATCAGAATTGTATTTGAATAGAAATCAAAATGTATTTGAATAGAAATCAGAAGTTAGATATTTTTCAACAGATTTTTTTTACATTAACAAAAACTCATAAGATTTATTTATTTATTTATTTGTTTGTTTGTTTTTGAGAAATAATATAAAGGAAAGGAAGATGGTAAAATCAGTACATATAAACTACCAAATATGAATAACAACATTCTTAATGAAATGTATATCTAAAAAGGCTTGTGTTATTATTTGTCCTTTCAAACATCATGGAACATTAGTACTTACACTTTCTCTGAGCTCATGATCTCCATAGCGATGTGGACCACCTTGTTCCTCTTCGCCCGTTCTACCTCCTGAAGATACACATTAAAATTCTGTTAAAACGTTAGACCATTTAAACAATATAAGCTAAAGTGCCATTAACTTACACATTTGCTACATCCAACCATGACTTGAAACAATATACAGCCACATGGCAAAACAAATGCCCTAATTCTCTGTGTACATGAGTGTGGGATGTTTTGGGCTGGTGAAAGGTTGTGGTCTTTATTTGGATCAGGGTCTAAGCACAAGGACAAAGTTTGACTGAAAGCACCCCCTGTTTCTAAAATCGGGGTGTGTCTGGGAGTCTCTCTGGATTATCTCGAGACAGAAAGTCTGCTGGACACACCTTACCAATTCTGTACAAAGATGTTCTTTCTTTTAAAGCTTCTCTTCAAATAAAGATGAAAACATGATGACATCTCAACATATTTAAAAGGCACCCAAAAATGGAAATCATCATAGCCTCAAAAAAAGTCCCTGCTTCCACCTGATATTACAGGGACATGAAACCCTTGACTAAAGTTTTGTAAAGATTTTACAGTACCTCATAAAAGTCTCGTCGTCAATCCCAGTGGTAATAGCAAAAAGTAATAATGTGACTTCTAGTTGATCCATTTGAAAAAGTGTCAGAAAGTTTATTTTTCCAAATAATTATCTGTTGAACTGCATCCCAATCATCACAAATACATCAGTAGGCCTATTGGAACCCACATGGACCCAAGATTCTCACCGAAATCAGTCAAGTTTGGTGAAGGGAAAAAAAATCATGACTTGGATTTACATTCAGTATGGGGGTGTGCGAGAGATCTGCAGAGTTGATGGCAACATCAACAGCATGATGTATCAAGACATTTGTGCTCCCCACTCCACCTCATGCTGTGGCCAGCCCAGAAACCAGATATGAACCTTATTGAAGATCAATCCAAAAAATCTTGATAAACTTTGGGGGTCCTGCAAGAACGCTTTCTATGCCATTTCAGATGACTTTATTAATAAGTTGTTATACACAATATTATTTCTTTTTTAAACGCAACATGACTTTATATTCTGTACTCTGTTAAGTGATAAGACTTTTGTCTAAGCAAAGTCTGACCCTACTGTCCTAACTGAATAATTAATCATCAAGGCATGATCCTATTTTATTTTAGTAAAATAAGCATAATCTAGAGGACTTTGTCTTTCCTATAAGCCACTTCTGATACCAAATGATCAACTAGAAGTTAAGTTATTATTTGTTGTTGCCTAGGTAGTGTGTGTTTGTTAAACACAGGGAATCTGCAGATGTCAGCAAGTCAAATTTAAGACTTTAAGCCCTTTTTAGGAGCATTATAAATGACATTTCTAAAAAATTAAATTAAGTCAAATTGAGTTATTTCTAAGCCACATATTTTTTAAAAGATTTGTCAAAACAAGCAAATTCTGTTTTTTTTTTAAATATAACTTCTCTTTTTAAAAAATGTAAAAGTTTAAAAACTATTATGAACTAAATGTATGCACCACAGTCAGTCCAGGTCAGTGTCCTCACCAGGTAGCTAATAAATACATGAAGAACATTTTTAAAGAAATATTATTGTAAGCATGATAACTAAACCATATTAGTAAACCGAGTTAATAAATAAAACTTTTGTTAAACGTTTAGATATGTTTTGCTGGTTATTGGATGGCTGTTAGCCTGATTGGAAAAATAAGGCTGGTTTAAAATGAATTAGGGCCTACAGCACAATATTTCAGTGAATTGAATATTTTTTATTGAAATTTAAGAAATCAAGTCTTTTTGAGACCCCGCAGGCACTCTGAAACATCAATTAGGACTTTAAGTTAGCATCTGTTAGCTTTAACTGTAGGGAGCAACTAATCGTATCTTTTGTTTTTAATATCTACATTGGGGCGAAGTCATTTTGGGCCACACTGACAGATACATTTTAAAAACTCTCCTCCCAGTCTCCAGCTTTGCCCTATCATGCCCAATCCCCTATCTTCTGTTCACTAAAGTCCCTTCAAGTCAAGTCATTTCACTCGACAGCCATGTTTGAAACACCTCTCAGGCAGTATGCTCGGGCATTCTGTTTGAATAGGGAAACATCAAATTCTCCAAAACTGCCAAGTTAACGATTAAACATTTGGACTCACCAATAAAATTAAACAACAACTGTCTCATAAGTTTAGTTTCTGAACGTTCAAATCAAACAAAATCAGCATTTCTTCAGGTTGCCCAAGCTAATGCGCATGTGCACTCGAAAGTAACGAGATCACGACACCAACCTCAGTCATAGCCATTCTACACATTATCGCCCTCTGGATAATGATCGCGCTGTTGAATCTCCTCCTTTGTTTACAAGTTTGTAGATGTTTGAGTAGTTGCTGCTGTCATGTGATGTGTGTTTGACAGGACAGACTGTAACTCACATTAGTTTCATACAGATTACAAAACCAGAAAACTTTTGTTTTCAAGTGTACTTAGTTCATTTAAGTACAGATTTCAAGCTTTATGTGAATATATTTTTTATGTCTGGGAAGCAAGCATTTGCTGAGATTCCAGTATGTTTGGTGAACACATAAAAGCACAAGTTTGGTCTGGTCTGAGCTTCTCTCACGGAGAGTCATCAGTCTATAGTGATCGATGATTGGCTCCTGTATTAATAAATGGGGCTTCATTCGCCATATTGACCCCAACCCTTTTCCCTATTCAAAAATATACGAGTGGCACGTCTTGTGTATTCTGTAGTATTTGTGCTCACAGCTTTCTACACACATATATGTTGCATTTAAAAAAAGGTCTGAAGTAGACTTGAACTGAAAGAGTGTGGTTTCATGACCAAGCAGTCAGTCAGTCTAGACACAATAAAGGGTCATCAACTGCACTATAAAAACATTGTGTAAGTTTCAGAAATCGAATTCAATTTGCCAAAATAGAAAATGTAGTGCTATTTTTTTATGTAATAGTGGCTCTAAAGTCTTCCCACTGCTTATATATTACTGGCTTTAGATTAGCTGTGGCCACTTATTCATAATATTGCATGTAAATAATGAGAGGCAAATGCAGGTCAACAGAAACCAAACAATGAAATGCATTGAAGATACCAAGTATTAACAAGTTGTGGAAAAACAGACTTTGCTTCTGGTGTCAAAGTAATGAAAAAGTGGAAGTTTACTTTATTTTACAGTGGATTTATTTATTTATTATGGATCCAAAGGCACAATTTGATGAAGGATTTTCATAAAATGAAAAGGCAATGCTTTGTCAGATATATTAGATCTTACAATAAAATTGCACCACACTAATGTAAGTAATTGTTTTTATTATATGTTCATTATTCATTGGTATTTTACTATTTTTATGTCAAGACAGTATATTGACAGGAAGCGTTTGAGATCAAGAGGGATGGGAAATGTCAGTGACTTGGGACTCAAACGTGCACACAGTGTAGTTTTTGATTCTCTTTTGGTAAATCCAATATCATCACATGTTCGGCAAGTAAGTGGAAATGAACTTTTGTGGGTGAAAGTGGTCAAGCTCAAAATGTTTTCGACTAAAGCTAACACTGGAAATAGCATTAATGAAAATGCAGTGTAATATCAGGTGTAAGTGGAGCCTTTGACTTTTGTTCTTCTTTCAAAATGCAAAAAAAGTCATTGTAATGAAACCTAACAGATTTTAGCTCCTGTTTGGATTGGTTTAGATCACTAAAGCATATTACAGGGCAGTTCATCTATTGTTGAGATTAACAGCAACTGAATTAAGATTCTCTCACACAAGTCTCTTGTTATTGTATCTTTCAGGTAACCATTTTTTGAACGAAAAGGTGACTGTTGCAGTTGACATTGCCTACTTGCCCACTTTGACCCGGGCTCGGACAGATGGGTAATTCCAGCAGAGTGCTCACAGCAGTTGCAAACTCGCCTTCATTACACACTCAGGCCAACAACAGCTGGATGTCCCTCCTGTGTAACAGCAGTTCTTCCTCTCCAATCTGAACTTCAGATTGTGAGTGTCGTGTTATTACTCTACACTGTCTGAAACTCACTGTCTTCTACTTAATAAATTGTGCTCTATGATATGATAGTAGAGGTAAACCTAAACTGGTCTTACAGTTCGGTTCGGTTACGATTATCATGTCATCGATTCGGTTCAATTCAATATCTCAGTGCATCGACGAAGCTTTCCATACACAGTGTAGTATTTTGGGGAGATGCTATGACAAGCTGTCTGTATGAACACAGACACACAGCCCCACACTGTCTCTCATTCACACACATACACAAACACAGACAGCACCAAACATCGCTTGGTAGCGATATTTTGAGTCCGCCCACTCCTGTCAAAATTGCACCAGAGTTATCGACCGTTGCCGCGATTTATTCTGAAATTCCCATGCCCCATGAAATCTGGTCGGTTCCCGCAACAATGCACAGGTACCAGCACACCTAACTGGCGCCTCCGCATAATAGGTACTTTTGTTAGTTTTTAAATTATTATTTTCAGTTTTGCTTGTCAAAAATCACACAATCAGCCCTGATCATGTTTCTTAAGATGACTTGGATTGAAGCACTTAATTCAAACTGTTTTATCTATAACTTTCTGAAGGGTCATTTTGGTTGACTGGACTTTCAACAAGAAAAAAAAATATCTTATTAGAATTAAAATACATTACAATAACTTCATTTGTGTTTGAAAAATAAGTGAAAGTTGTCATACAGATGTGAAATTTGAATTGAGGGGTTTATTTGCAATATTCAGCATGCAATAGTGCTTTTTTTTTTACATTAAATAGATATTTTTAGGAAAATTGATTTCCCCCACAAAAATGTGTCCTTGTTAAATATTTAGTTGTTTTCAAGAATTGTTTTAGAACTTCGGTCAGAAACAATATTCAGAGCACTGTTTGTAACAATATTGGGAGCAACGCATTACAAGTAATGTGAGTTACATGATAATATTACTTTTCTAAGGAACAAGTAAAGTAACGCATTACTTAAAAAGAATTAAGTAATAATATTTAAGTTACATTTTTAAAACTATAACGCAGGTTACTTTTTTAGATTATTTAATACGCTTTTAAAAAATTAATTGCTGAATTACAGTTAGGCTAACTTCTTTGAATCACCTTCAATGAGAGAATGAGCTCCCAGGGAACCCACAAAAACCAAGCTGGCAGAGCCTTACATGTCTGTGATGGAAGTTTTCTCATTATTTTGAACTCATGGAAGGGGACTATAGTCTTGATGGACAGTGATTTCACTGAACTAAGACAAAAATACAAAAGTATCAAACACATTCCTTTCAACTTTAATTAATTATATGGCATGTTTTTGTTCATTATCAACGCATTGCAACATTGTCACTGCACTTTGATTTGAGTCACTTTTTAATAGCTGCTAAAAGCCAAATAAATCTTAAACTTGTTACATTTGTTGCTAGGCGCTTTTATGAAAAAAAAATTTGCTAAGGTAGATGAAAATTGCTAAACCTAGCAACAAAATTGCTAAATTGGCAACAACGATTAAGGCCTAAATTAATTTAGCTATTTTTTTTTTCAAACAATTTGGTCATATTAATAGGCTTGTGGCTCTATTTTCAAAACAGTGTGTATTTCAATGTAATAACCTGCCTCATATAATTCAATTGTAGATGGATTATTGTAAAAAAAATAAATGTGTTTATAGGGTAAAGATTGAGTTGAAATTATTTCCTGTGCCAAAGGAAAGAACAATCACAGATGCTGTCGATAAAGCTGAAAACCTGGAACATTCCTCTAATTCCATGCCAGTGATTCAATCTATTTGATTGTGATGTTTGTTCTACTACTGTGTTGTTGTGCAGTACCTCTTTATCTTTTGAATGTCTCATGTCTTCTTTACTGGAGTCTGAGCTGTCACCGTCTTCCTCATTAGAGCTCAGTCCATCCTCTGATAGATCAGCACTCACTGAACATCTGCTGCCAGACAGGAAGAACCAAAATACAAACAATCAGACCAGTCACAGTGTTGGAGTTTGGATTACTTTCATTATTTTATCACATCAATTATTTTAGATAATTATTTTATCAATTATTTTATTTTTGCACGCACCCAACCAACCACCCACACAAACACACACAGTATATGGTATCTAGATCTGCACAATATATCGTTTCAGTATTGATGTCACAATGTGAGCATTTGCAAAAGTCACATTGCAGGATCTGCTTGTCAAGTAAGGATTAATTTTTGACCAGGAGCTTGTAGATTAATTGCAAACTTGACCTACTGTGGATTTAAAATTTATTAATTTAATTAGTTTTTTTTCTGTTAAACTTTTAAAGTGAGTTTAAAGCATTCAGGCACAAGAAACAATAGCATTTGGTGTAGAGCTGAACTATATTGGAAAAATCTGACATGATATTTTGTTTTGTTGGGATATAAATTGAGATATCAATATAATTTAATTAGATGATTTGAATAGCTCTATTTGGAAGAACTTCATGGACTAAAAATAATTAGATGGCAACAGCTGAAAGAAAATAGATGATTCACATTTGATGTCCAGACAAAAATACTTTAAACCGTATGAGGAGGAAATAGCTGATAAAAGAAACAAACCTAGAGCGGCATCAGCATGCCATTACTCTTATTTAATCAGTGCTATAGCTAAGCACCATGTACTGTGACACAAACTACAACAATAAAGATTGCCTAGACTGACATTGCAAAGTGGACTCAAACTATTTTAAGCCCTTTCAAATATTTAATTGAATGAAGCTGTTCAACAGATTGATCAAAAAGACTAGTAGTTTACCATGTTAAAATAAAGGGTTTGTTAAATAATTGCACAATCCTGCATAATATATAGTGTAGTTAAGCAGCATTTAAAGTGGAGTAGCTAATAGCTTAGCTCACTCCATTTTTCAAGTAGCTTGCCCAACACTGATTTTTAAATATTTGTGTCGAACTGCCATTAGGTTGAGTCAACTTAGTTTTTTTACAGTGTAGTTTAACATAGTTTTAACCTAGTTTATGTTATTCTGACACAAAGTAATCAACAGCAATCCTACTACATTATCCAAAAAAAGTATTAAATTAAAATAAAGTAATTGAAATTAATGGTGAATTTTAGGAGAATTTAGATATATTTTTACCATTGAGATGACCAAGAAAATGTGTCCCAATTGATTTGAATTCACCCTATATTGTTTTATTTTAAACTGATTTTATTTTGATAGTTTTCTTTGACCAATGCATGAATTGCTATTAACTATTGCCAAATCGGCCCAAATCCAACCTATAATATAATATAATATAATATAATATAATATAATATAATATAATATAATATAATATAATATAATATAATATAATATAATTTAAAATAATAAAATATAATATAATATAATATAATATAATATAATATAATATAATATAATATAATATAATATAATATAAAATTAATATAATATTAGCTAATGGATTTTGCACATATTTTGAGAAGATTTTATCGAACAATTTAAAACCCTAAATTTCAAATGGCTTCAGGATACAGAAGAATACTTTATTTAAGGTCCAATTACTTAAAAAAAACGATTTATTCATTCTTTCTTTCGTTCGTTCGTTCATATGATGTATATAAAATTATAACATATAAAGTTTACTCAACTTATAATTTTAAAGCAACAAACTTCAGGGCATTTTTGAGTTTACTTAACCTACTTACTTAACTTAAATTGAGTCAAGTGCAGTAATTGGGTTGAAAGTCGAGTCAACTAAAAAATGTCCTGAAGTTTGTTGCCTTAAAATATTAAGTTGAGTCAACTTTGCTTTTTTACATGTAGTTTACCATCATTTCAACCGAGTTTCTGTTATTCTGACACAAATGGCTCTAAAATAATTCTACTACCAATAGCAATTCTAATACATTGGCTAAAAAAGTATTAAATTAAATTAAATTTAGGGCAAATTCAGGTCAATTGAGACACTTTTTGCCAAATGTGTCCCAGCTGACCTTAATTCACCCAAAATTATTTTATTTTAAATTTATTTTGATACTTTTCTTTGACCAATGTATTAGTATTGCTATAAGTATTACCAATTTGACCTGAATTCACCCTATAATATAATATAATATAACATAAAATATTAAAATATAATATAATATAACATTATATAATAAAGCTAATGGATCTTTGCACATTTATTGAAAAGATTTTATCCTACAATTTCAAATCCTAAATTTCAGATGGCTTCAGAATACGGAAGAATACTTTTTAAAAGTTCAATTTTGTTTAAAAAAATATATTCATTCATTCATTCATTCATTCATTCATATAAGATCAGTGTGATCATTCACCTAAATATCTTCTAATGTACTCCACATAAAAACCCTCAAGTCTTCTGGAGTGACGTGAGAATGAGAAAGTAAATCTTCATTTTGGGCTGAACTGCTCCTTGAGCATCCAGCAGCAGATAACACAAAATAAAACTCTCTGCATTCACACACTTTCTGCCCTCTTTCTGGTTCCCCTCGCTCTCATTCTTTCTCCCGCTGCAAGACAGAGCTGCTCTTGTTTACAGCTTATATAAACTCACTCAGCAAAGACACACACACACACATACACAGAAAGAGAGAGATACGCAAGCTAGAGTTTCTGTCGTTCCTAAGAAACTACAGTGAATGTGATTTAATATATGTGGTGGAGTCCATTAGCTGGAATGTGTCAAATCAAAATTTCATTGTAAATTAAATGACTTTTTCCACATTGGTCTGTCACACAACTCGCAACACACAAATATGTATATTTGGCATAATTGCATTTCATTTGAGTTAATTACATAAAAATATTGTTATTCTATCTTAATTTTTTAAAGTTGTATGTTATATTAAAAGGCTATTTGCTTTATTTTAAAAACCATTAAAGATAACTTCCATGTAGATCATTTTATAAAATAATATAATATAATATAATATAATATAATATAATATAATATAATATAATATAATATAATATAATATAATATAAATTACCAAAATATTTTATTTATTCTATTTTATATTATAAGAGTCCAAATAGATAGATTCTATATTAAATATTTTTAATATTTTTTTTATATTATATTATACTATTAATTGCTAGGTCTATGTTTTACAACAAAAATATGAAAGGAAACAAAATAATTTACTACGACCCTTATTCAGATTTGAACACCAATAATAACTGAATAACAATTATGTAGTAATACATCCCTATATAAGCACACACACACACACACGCACACACACGTGCACACACACGCGCGCACACATCAAGTTTCACTCAAGTGATTCTGCCTGACTCCTATTATCCAATCTAGTCCAGTGATCGTCCTGAGTAAAATCTCACAGATATAAGAGATAGTGGATGCTTTCAGAACACAATACTACAGGATGCTGTTTAGTGTATACTATTGTACAGCTTGAATACAATTTTAAAAATTATGATATGTGTGCAATATCACAAACGATGTCCAGTTATCTTGAAAAAGATTATTTCCAGGATAACTGGACATTGTTTGCGATAGAGCTGCACAATATCGTTTTAGGATCGAGTCAGGATTATAGCTGACCAGGTAGAATTAAGGAGTCATTTCTTTTTAACCATAAAAACGTGAAAGTTTATCAGTTGTGTGTGCGCTGTTAAGGCCTGTGACTGTAAGTGTTTTTAGTGAGTTTAAAGCATTTGGGCACAAAGAATTACTGCATTGCTTTAACAAAAATCTACTTGGTTTCATGGTTGTATGTAACGAAGACTACACAACTTTACTGTATGATTGTTTCATTTCTGTACCTGAATACTGTTAGACTCTTTAATTTACAATCATGGTCACTTTATTAGTACACCTTACTAGTACCGGATTAGACCCCCTTTTGTCTTCATAAATGCCTTAATCCTTTTTGGTCCATATTAACATAATAGCATCACGCAGTTGCTGCAGATTTGTCGACTGCACATCCATGATGCGAATCTCTCGCTCCGCCATATCGCAAAAGGTGCTCTGAGATCTGGTGACTGTGCAAGACATTTGAGTACAGTGAACTCATTTTTATGTTCAAAAACCAGTCTGAGATGATTTGCGCTTTATGACATGGCTAGCCATCCTGCTGGAAGAAGCCATCAAAAGATTGGTACACTGTGGTTACTAGTTATAAAGGGATGGACATGGTCAGCAACAATACTCAGGTAGGCTGACACAATGCTCTAATACTAATATGCCCAAAACGTGTCAAGAAAATATCTCCCACACCATTACTCCATGACAACCACCAGCCCGAACTGTTGATATAAGGCAGGATGGATCCATGCTTTTATGTTGTTGCTCTGACCGTGCCATCTGTATGTGTCAGCAGAAATCGAAACTCATCAGACCAGGCAAACATTTTTGTCCAATTTTGAGTGAGCCTGTGTGAATAGTAGCCTCAGTTTTCTGTTCTAAGCTGACAGGAGTGGCACACGGTGTGGTCTTCTGCTGCTGTGGCCCATCTACCTCAAGGTTGGATGTGAGGTGCTTTCAGAGATTCTCTTCTGCATGCCTTGGTTGTAACGAGTGTTTACTTGAGTTACTGTTGCCTTTCTATCAGCTCAAACCAGTCTGGCCATTCTCCTCTGACCTCTGGCATCAACAAGGCATTTGTGCCCACAGAACTGTCGCTCACTGGATATTTTCTCTTTTTTGGACCATTCTTAGTAAATCCCAGCACATCTGTCACTAACAACCATGCCCCGTTCAAAGTCACTTAAATCCCCTTTTTTCTCGATTCTGATGCCCTGTTTGAATTGCAGCACATTGTCGTGACCATGTCTACATGCCTAAATGCAGTGAGTTGCTGCCATGAGATTAGCTGATTAAAAAATTTGCATTAACAAAAAGTTGGACCTAATAAAGTACCTACGAAGTGGCTGGTGAGTGTATATCGTTGCTCTACACTGTA